GTGTGTGTGTGTCGGGGCCTCCTAAGAGCCTATTATGTCGGAAGGGGATAATATGGTCGTAACTATTGCGGTCCAACAGGACTCTACAAATTGCCGCACGGTCTTAAGGAGCAGGGCGTGCTCGGTTATTACGTCTACCTTAGCGGACGCATGTTTAGCGGTCTTGAACGCCTCCGCGAAAGCGACGAGAGCGACTAAGTCTAAAGCGTTTATGACGCTAAACGCAAGATTAAAAGCGTTGCGAACGCTGCCTGACTCCTCAGTTGCCTCCGCGGGAGGGCTGAGGGCTGAGGGCTTGGGTAGGAGGGCTCGCATTAAGTGTGGGCCTCTCTTTTATGATATTGGGGTCGGCGCAAGGGCCTAGGAAGGCGCTGCAATTTGGATTGCAGAGGCGGGAAGGCTTCTGACGTGAGTTGGGGAGGGCCCTCCGTAACGGGGGGCTTGGCCCAGGGACTAATTTTAGGAGGTGGGGCCGGCACGTATGCGGGCTTAGCAACCGCGCCACGACGGGCCGCATCGCGTCCCACCATGCGCCTAGACGACGACTTATGCGCCTTGGGGGCTCTAGGGCAACCGCGATAATTCGCTGGGTGCCCCTGTTGCCCGCAAAGCACACACACGCCGGCGGCTCAGTACACGGAAGCGTCCGCTTGCAGTCCGAGGTGCCGTGGTCACCTAAACACTTTACGCACCGCGCCCTCGCAAAACAATTACGGGCTGCGTGCCCGTAGAGTTGACAGCGGTGGCACTGTCGTGTGAAAGAATGTTTGAGAGGGGTTTCAACCCTCAGCCCCGAGAGCTTACAACACTCCCGAAGGTTAAAAATCTTTTTCCCACTCGGGGTAGGGTCTAGGACTACTAAGACCATATCATATGCTTCCTTTGTGGACCGTTGGAGCATACGGAAAACATCCCTACGGGGTAACCTTGCTCGATTAAATCGGTTTGGACAATACCGGAGTCTATTTCCTTCGGAATGCCCTTTATTACTACCCTAAGGACGCGCTCCTCGGGTAGGGGGAAGGTGTGGCCTCCGATACCTTCGGAACGAAGGTATGAGGTTAGGAACCGGTGGTGCTCAGGTGTAAACACCTGTATGCATAGATTATCCCTCAACGTTCGGGCTTTATAATTAATCGACTTTGTGTCGAGAAGTTTTGAGAGGGTGAGCCATACGCCCTTGTCCCTAACATATACTGGCGGAGGGGTTTTAATGCGGGGTCCGCGGGGGCGGAGGGCGCTGGTTTGTCCGTTAAAAGCGAACTTAGATCCCTCTTAGGAGGGATGGACGGTTGGGTGGGCCTTTTGGCGGGAGGACCGCCGTTGGCCGAACGCTTTTTCTTCCGACCGACTGTCTGGAAACCGTCGGATTCCGAAGATGACGAAAGTACGGCTTCGTCAACCGTTTCCGCCGGAGCGGATTGGGCCGACATTGCCGACAACGGACGCGCTATGTTTTCTGACTCCTCATCGCTTACGCTTCCCACTTCCGAGAGTGGTGAGCGCGAGCGCGAGCGAGAGCGGGTTTGGTCGGGCGAATTTAAACTATTATTGCGCGGTGCCTTCGCGGAGGCATTTTTCATCGTCCTACACGGCGACGGAGATGGCGAGCGCGGTGAGTCCGCACTTTGAGACTCGTAAAATTCCGTGATTATATCCGGATATCGCTTTCGTATATACTGCAGGAATATTATTAAATCGTTGGGGGGTTGTGCCTCGGACGCCATCCTGTAAGCGGGAAGCCAGACAGTTTGGCGGCGAGTGTGTACCTACGCCTACGTGTGTGAGTACCTAAGCTGTGGTTTGCCCTAATGTGTATGTGTCTCCGCTGGTGATAGCGGAGGTGAGGTTTGTCACCGACCTAACCAGCCCGTAGGAGTTTGGGTAAATAGAGCCCCTACGGATGTGACAGGACCCGTCCAACAGTGGACCTGATTGAAGCCGGTTTCAAGAGAGTAGTTGGAGTACCTACTCCCTAATAAGTGCCTACTAGGAGGCCCGGCTGCGCACAGGACTTGGAGGAAGCGGAGGGGCTGATTCGCGCCTTGAAAAAAGGCACGGTGTATGCACCCCGGACAAAACACCCGCACAAGGCGTTAACCGTCAAATAACCGTTTGGCACCGTTAGGTGGCTATCGGACGGCCGCAGGTAAACCCGCGCTCATATATTGCAGCCTCCAAACGCGATGTCCAATCACCGAAGACGCGAAGCGACCAATGAGAGGGCAGCAGGCAGCAAGGCAGCAGTCGGACAGCGCGTGCGCACTGTACAGCGGCAAGCGGCAATGACTCACAAGGAGTGAGCGAGATGGCACTGGAGCAGACGTCCGCACAGGTCGGCAGTCAAGCGAAGAGTCGTGCCTTTGAAAGGATCGGGATTTGGTATTTAAAGGTTTGGGTAGGAGTAGGGATACATTAGGGGAACAAACAATGTCATTGGGTAATTAACTATAACTTATCACTACATAAACAAATGGTTAAACTTATACAAGGCAAAGAAATAATAATTAGGTAAATAACAATTGAAAGATTAATAATATAGTGGGGACCACATAACACCCTATTCTTACACCGGGAACTGCACGGATAAAATATGATATGAACAAACTTGGAAGGTAGCAACCCCTTCTATCTTCAGGCAGCCTGCTTTGGGCTTTTAACGTGCACAATCTTCTTACTCTTTTAACGCCAATACCATGAATGCTTGCGAATCCCTCACGACACAGCGTTTGTCTTATCTCGCCAATGTGTATTTCATATGAATAATTTTGCAGGTTATGCTTACTTGCTTCAGACTTAATAGGGTTTTTATAGGTAATACTTTTATCAAGTTTTGCAAGTAAGCAGCTTGAGTTACTTTCTATCCCAACTTATTGAAGTTTGATAGTAGGTACTGGTTGAAATCTACTGAGAAAATTAATATTTGAAACTTTACAAATATTTAGTGAAAGACTAATTTATTCATTAATTCAGGACAGTCAGTTGGGATTTGAGGTATACCTTCATGAGCTGTTAGTTCTTTCTGTGTCAAAGGAACGATCAACTTGTCATCCGATTTATCATTACTTGTAGCAGGGGAACGCATGAGTTGGTTCAAAACTATTAGAGGCATTTTCAGGATTGTAGTTAAGTGATGGTGTAAGGCGAGGATATAGCAAACTTGGACTGAGTTGTTCTGTTTCGGGCGGAAACATGTCTTCAATAACTAAATTCTCAACTATTTCCTAATATGTCTGCGTCTTAAAACAACTTTGATTATCGGAAATGTTATTGGTAATTTAGGGGTATATGTGTACTGCAAGCCAGGCTATTTATTTTCAATACAGTCAATGTAGCCATTATCAAAGTAAGTCGATGAATCAGAATTAGAAGCATCCATACCTTGTATTAATATTCAACTGTTTTTCAAAGCCACCTCTCCTTATGTCGCGTTTAAACAATTTTTCGTCCACAAAACGCAGAGCGGTAGAGTCTGGCTAATGAAAGCTACTATACTGAAAAATCGCGGTAAATTTCAAAAATATCAGCATGGCAGCCCTAAAGTAAAAAGGAAAGTTGGAACAACTCACTTTGATACTTTGACATTCATTTTTATTTTACTAGTGGATGCTTGCAATTTTGTCCGCGTTATGAGGAGATTAAAAGTGGCCTTCATCACTTGTTAACTCTTTATTAACTCCATACCAAACATCACACGGATACGTCACTCCATTGTGGCGTATCCGTCACTCCATAGTGTTTTATGTAACCTATGATCCTAAACTCTGTGCTGATCACTCCAACTTTTAGGAAAATGTCATTTTATACCGTACCAAGTTTTCAAAATTAATTTTCGCACTACTTCAACTGATCGTCCTGAAAAAAAAATGTATTATTCCAGTTTGGCAAGTAGCTTTAAAAGTTAGCGCATTTAATAAGGATTCTAAAGTGGTCCATTGAGTCCATTATTTCTTAGATCGGCCATAAGATTTTTTTTTGTTAAACAAAGTCTGTTTTTAACAATCTCTTTGAAATTACAACAAATGATTCTAGCGCACCCAAAACGTTCCTAATGACCACAGCGTGGTTTAAATAAGATGGAGAAAGACATTCCATAAAATGTGAGCGAGACAGATAGTGACGCTTATGACATACGGACGCAAATAAGTAAAATAGACAGTTTCTTTTTTATGATTAGATTTATTACTTTTTTTATAAAAGATGTTCAAATTGCCGTCCTTCAGCTGCAATACACGCTCGACATCTCCTTAAAAAAGATCGTGAAATGAAGCGGGCAAATCGTCCATTATTCACAAATTCTACTGCTTCCGCTATTCTCTGTCTAAGCTCTTCTACATTTTGAATCGACTTGGAATAGACTTTTTCCTTTACTGCTCCCCAGTAAAAAAAATCAAGAGGATTTAAATCGGGTACTCCTCGTTAAGGTGGTTTCGAACTAAGCGGCTGTAATGCGCTGGACAACCATCTTGCTGGAACCACATATCTCGTAAAATAGTAAGCGGCACGTCCTCCAGCAAATTGGGCAAATGATTTTGTAAGAAATCTAAATAAATTTCAGCATTTAAAACTTCTGGTAACTCAAAAGGCCCTATGACTTTTCCGTTCAAAATTCCAGTCCACATGTTAACTTTGAAACGGTACTGTGATCTGTCTGGTCTCATCAATCGTTGATTTTCGACGTGCCACTCGTGCAGATTGTGTAGGTTCATGTAGCCGTCTTTTTTAAAAGTTGATTCATTCGACCATACAATTTTTTCTAAGAATTCTGGTCGCGCGCTATGACTTTTTTGTGCTAACTAAGGTCGCCCATACACCTATAAGTGTCGTTTTTTAACTAAGTAAAAAATAGGGTATGTTCGATTTGTTTCAATCGTTTCTTTTAAATGAAAAACAGAATTACATATCGTACATTTTATAAGACATTTTTTATTAATAAAGATTTGTAAATGATAAAATAATTAAAACCGTTAAATAAAAAATATGGTACTAGTATTAAATAGTTAAATATGGTACTCCATAAAACAACCTTCAATGCAGAGGTTAATGTTGCATTCTAGACACTTCCATACAGTTCTGGCAGTGACCTTTCGCTGGGCGCACATCCAACAGCGAGCTTGTTTGTGCCCATTTCTCACTGGAAAGTGTCGGTGTTCTAGATGGTTGCGGTGTCAGTGTCAGTCCGGTTCGAGATGTTATAAGTCGGGGTTCCGTATTCAGGTCAATATTTCGGTGTATTTTTAATAAGTCTTCCGCCAGAATTGTCCTAAACTGCCTATGGGAAATTTTGGGATTTGCGGATTTAAAAATAACAAAGCAGCTAAATAATGCAGCATTTAACATGCGACGGAAAAGTTTTTTGTACCAAATTTTGTTTTTTGTACGTTGCAAGGGCTGAGCAGACAGGAATTGATCTTTCCTGTCTACGCCTCCCATGGATTTATTGTAGTCTAGGACAATGCTTGGCTTGAATGTCAGTCGATTGTATTTTTGTCGAGATCCGATTTGGAGGTAATGGTATGTCGAGATCAAACTAACTATGTTAACATCTCGCCATACACATATCGACAAATCGGAACAGTAGCTAGCCACTACTTCACCTTGTCGAAGTTCCGTTTTCGTCAAAGTCTTTAATGAATCGGGAACGAATTCCCGATTCAGCCTTAAGGTTCCGTAGCAGTCAGTATTTTGTCGTTTTAAACATCGAGCTAATAATGGGCAATTGTAAAAATTGTCCATTACTAACGTATGTCCACGGTGAAGTAATGGCTCTACCAAGTCGTATACAATTTTGGAAGTAGCATTGCTGGGACGGTCATTGGTATTTCCAGTCGATGTATGGTCAGTCATTTCAGCCTCATTATGGTTTGTATCGTCAACGTTGTTGGGACGGTCATTGTTATTTTCAATCGATGCCGATGGTTTGTCAGTGGTTTCATCCTCGTCAGGTTTTACGTCATTTGTAGTTGAAGTCCTTGTCTTTTCTTTTCCAGCATATACTAAAAACTTCCAGAGATAGCCACTGGAAGACTCGCACAACTCGTAAGTTTTCACACCTACTTGTGCAGTCTTCGACAAAATCTTATGAGCGAAGCCTAGTCTCCCATGCCACTTCAAAAGGGATTCGTCAATGACTATCTCTTGTGAAGGATAGTATAAACTGGGAAATTTGTCATTAAAATAGTCAATTATTGGCTGAATTTTAAATAGTCTAGTCGGTTCTTTCATTGTCTCATTGTCGACTTAATGTAGCATTGATTTTAGCAAAAGATACCTGTAGTAGGTCATGATTCTACGAAAATATGGCATAGTGCCGAAATCATTGAACACGAAGTAAGATTCCTCCTCCGGTAGAGGGAATAGGCCTTGTAAAACGATAATTGCTAAAAAACTGACCATTTCGTCCCTATCAGTCGGCGACCAACGATAAAGCCGCGAAGTTGGAAGAAACTTGTTTTGTTCTTTCAATGATGTTATCTTTTGGTTGGCGATTAGTCTCTGTACAATGTTTATCCAATAAGTCATTGTCAATCATCTTATAAAAAATGTCGATGATACGTGTCGTATCTGAAATAGTAAAAGTCGGTCCTCCAGTCCCGTAAAAATCTGTCGGTCTCTTGTCCAATTAAATCGAAACAGTCACTTGGCACCAAGTCTCTCAAAACGAGATCGTTCTGCTGGTCTTCAGTCTCCAGTATTTTAGCTTCGTAAGGCGTCAAGTCAGTGGGAATAGCCGGCTCTGTTGAAGCATTGCGAGTGGTTATAATTGGAAGACCGATCTCAATAGACTCATCGTCTATTTCGATGTCACAGTCACTTAAGTCATCATTCATCCATTCGTCAACTGTCTGTTCAAAGTTGTTGTCGTTGACCCCTAGAAGAAACAACCTTGTTACTATAGTATCCTGTTCTTTAATATGTTATTATTCGGCTATTTATGGAACTTGTGATTGAAATAGATTAAATAAATAAAGAATACAATAAAGTACCAATAAATGTATGCCGTTTACTTGAGAAGGCGCCACAGAAATTTCGACCTCTGCCCCCACATCTATATCCGTACCTGAAATTAAACTTAATAATTAAATATTAAAAAAGCTCGTATTTAAATTTTACTCTTCAAATTTACATTCATGTGAGAGACCAAGAATGGCCTTGAATAAAGAAGCTGAAATTACATTTACCATCGACCCGATAGTAAAGAAACAAAATTGATCAAAGTTATATTTTATTTCATGTATATTGACGAAATAATATATTCAGAGGCCGGTTCATTGTCAAACGTTTTTTTCATCTATAACAAATATCAATACAAATTAGGTTAACACATATAAGCGAGGGCAATCCATAGGACTAGTAAAAAAGATTTCCTTACGTATTTCAACGTCAGCCACAATTTCTTGATGCCTGGGCGGTGATGGTCGATAGTCCTCTAAATAAACATTAGTTTAAAAAAAAATTATTGTTGATAATACTGGAAATATATATCTAATAAAACTTTTAAGTACTTACGAATGTGGACGTCACCAATGATATCGTGCGTGGGTGGTGGGTGCCACTTGCCTAATTTCTAAAACAGATATTTTTATGTCAGTTACATACTATCAAATATGGATAACAAAATAAACTATGTTTTAATATTACATATTCCTTACCTAAAATAACAATTCTATTTGGTTGGTTACCAGATTCGCTGTTGATCAATTCGCATGCCACGCGATCCGGCGATGGTCTTGGATGGTAACAAATAAAAACGACGTTCATATTCAACGAATATTAATAGTAAGTTACATAGTAAAAACACTAAATGTACGCGTCGCTTCCGCGGGGGAGCGTCAGGCAAAAGCACTCGTGTCAATTGTTTCTCACGCTTGCGGCCCAGAAGCTCCTTGCAATCTTCCGCTGACAATGCCGCAACACGCCTATGTTACTTGCCTTTGAGCGCGAACTAGATCTAGGTCACTGAAGCAGTAAAAAAATCTAAATATTTTGTAGAATCAAAAGAAAAACAACCAATAAGTTAAAGTAAAAGCAAATACTCACCTCCTAACTTCATCCACCGTTTCTCCACTGTTTCCACGTCCTCCGCGGTCTCCACGACTGCCACGGCCACGACTACCACCACGGCCACCGCGAACTACACGACCTTCGCGACCTCCACGACCTCCACGACCACGACTACGGTTTCCAGCATGGGTGGGCCCACCATCCCCGTGATACTCAGAATTGTCAATTTCACTCGGTGAGCTAAAATGTATACGTTACATGACTAAGAAAATAAAAACGTGCAATAACAATTTAGTGAAGCATTGAAAGACAAAATTTTTTTATAAACATAAAATTTTGAAGCTGCATTTCACAATAAGTGGATATTGAATAGGTGGTGGTAGTACCCAAGTTTTCTTTTGTAATATGCATCATTTGTTGTGATGTTTGGCAATATAAGGTTTTTCTGGTAATCCATACATAAAGCTCCTTCAGAATCAATTCGTTTAGACTTCATTCTTGCCAATCGTTTTCTCTGATAAAATGTTTGGGCTTTACGAAGATGAAGTTGTTGAGCAATATTCATCAGCCGAATTTTAGCTTCATTTTCTTTTCAGTGTCAGTTGTTTCAGAAAGGCTTTGTGGCATTGCCTTCATATTTACATCATGTTGGTCACAAGTACTGCAAGTGTCTGCTCTTGGATATCCAAAGGATATGTTGAACTGTGTATTAAATATATTTCTGAATGAAACATAAACAAGATTTGTGTTTTTTTTGACATTCATCTTTTTTTGCCTGGACTCTTCATATAGTTACGTTTAAAACAAATAAAAATAACTTAAAAAAATACATATAAAGGTTATCAAAAAAATAATTATTATATACAAAAAATCCCGCCTAATATCGAATTTGGGAATAACTTTCCTTGAAGCAAGTTTTGCATGAATCATGTCCTCCCTTGTTTTTTTATCACATTGCAGTTTCTGTCACTATCTTTACACTTCATTCAATCGCTTGTGTATTGCAAGGCAGCCTAATCGTTTCGTCACCTTTCTCTCTATTATATGAATAAGTTCGTCATTCGTCTGATTTCTTAAAATAAGTGGATCAAAGTTGGTTTCTTGCCAGTTTATTGGATCAATGTAAAAAATGTAGTATCACAATTAAATTTAGGCAATTCAAAAGTGCGTGGTAGTTATCCCGTTGTAGATGAACTACGCGCTTTTAGAATTCTTCTAGCTGCAAGATCTCTTATATGCTTTTCTCAGTAAATTTTCCGGGTAAGCAAAATATGCGGTCGTTGAATAACATGATATACTCGTATGACTGCTTTTAATGTACTTGATAAGCATCGCGAACATCAGGTTTTAGCGTTGGTTATTTACCTGGTATTGACTCAAATTTCAACTACAGCTCGCGTTTACCACTTATCCAGCAACTTACCAATAGGACCAGTGTACGTAGATAGACCAGAAGTTTTACCATCCATATAATCGAACAAATGCCTCAAGGGAAGTTCATTTAGATGTAGCATGAAAATTATCCATTGCAAAGGTCTCTGAAGTCTTCTTTCAAATAGTCTTATGACACCACTAAATTTACCTGTTCTTGTCACTGTTCCATCGCATCCGATAGCCAGGAAGTCAACAGTACTTATATTTTGGCGAAAAGAAAAGCGTTTATTGATATCTCAATGGCCTTTGCAGTTCCTTATAATGCTTTCTGGAGCTGAATGACTATAGTATGCGAGACTACAGGGATTGATGCCTTTTGCCGTACTCCTTCAATTTTCTGAGTTTAAATTTCTGTAATTTCAGAAAACGCAGGCTCTTTGTTACTGTTATTTTTAATTTACACCTACAGTCTATTTCACTCGTAACATTTCATGATATTGTTACGAGCTAGGGGATCGGATAGAAAACGCCGTAGATTTTTCAAGGGTGGGTATATTTTCAATTACTTATAATTAATAATCTTCCAAAACCAATATTTGTAAGTGGTGACTTTAATGCTCACCATATAGCATTTGGTTGTTTATCTAGTAATAGTCGAGGTCACAGCTTATTTAATATTATTGATGACTTAGATTTATGCATTTTAAATGATGGTGGCTATTGATGTTAGCTTCTTCAGTGCTAGTCTTGCATCTATGTGTGGATGGTCTGTACATGACAATGCCATAGGAAGTTATTATTACCGTACAATAACAGAAATATCCTTTTCTAGTTGAACCCTTTACATGGTCAGAATTTACAATAAGTTTACAATCTAAACGTAATACACCACCTGGTATGGATGACTAGTGACTACCCTTATCTATTGATTAAAAATTTGGATGAATCGGCTCAAAAATTATTTCTAGATATCCACAATCTACTTTGGCTTAACAACTATATTCCACAGGCATGGAAAATACAGTGTTCCAATACTCAAACCGGACAAAGCATAAGAACTTGATAGCTCATATGGACCAATTTTTATGGTCATGTCTTGGCAAATTTTTTGAAACAATGTTCAAAGTCCGTCTTGACTGGTGCGTTGAAGCTAATCACATCATTCCCAATTTCCAGTATGGCTTTAGAGAGGGCGAAGCTGTGCTGACAGTTTCATCTCTTTAATATCTGATCTGAAACATGAGAAGGAAAATAATTTACATATTGTTTGTATATTCCTTGCTGTTCAAGGTGCTTTTGACAGTATAGATCCTGGTAAACTTGTGAAAGTTATGTCGGGGCTAGGTAGGTAGGTTGTTTTTAAATTATGTCCAATGCCGTAGCATCTTCCGGTAATGTCTGAATTGGAACTTTAGTTATCAGTGGCCTATGATAACTAAAGTACGATATAAATTTTTTTGTATTAACGGCGTGTCGTGTTGTCGAAATCAGAGGATTATTATTCATTGCTAGATTCAAGTCATTTTGGAGGAAATCAATAAATGGACGAGCATCTTCACGGGAAAAATTGACGTTGAAGTCTCCACTTAAAATGATCGGTAATTTATCTTCTCCTCTACTAAGATATTCTCCTCCAGCTTTTGTATATGGCCATAATATTCTTTTCAGGAAATGTTTGATGACGTCCAATTTTTGATTTGGAGTAATGTAAATTACCATTAAAACAATTTTATTGCCATCTGCCATTTTGCATTCAGCTACACAAAACTCACCAACTGATGTCACTGTTGAATTTGTCAATTCCGTCTGTCTAACTTATCAATATTTGAAGTAATAATATTGCTAGTGTCGTGCCTATTCTGATAAATGGCAACTCCTCCAGCTCGAACGTTCTATCGCTTATATTGTACTATGCAATTGAAATTAGGTATACTAATCGACTCTTCATTGGCTAACCAGGTCTCATTTAAAAGTAATACATTTGATTGTTGCATAGTTTGATCAAGGAGATAAGTGGAATGAGCCCGGAGACTGACAGTTAAAAGTATATATTATTAACCCGCTCTTTTGATTAATAAAATCTAACAGATCATTGCTGATAGTTTGTAAGCGATTAAGCAAGAGTCTACGGAATTCTTCTTGAAGACTATTTATAGCAATGGATGCTCTCCGGCCATGATAGAAAGTTTTATCATTGTTTTTTGTCGTAATGTATAAACCTTGGAGGCTAGTCACCCGTGTCAATGCAACATACACTAATGACAGTTGATGATTTTTATCATATTTATAAACAATTTCAGGGTACGTACTACCCTGAGATTTGTGAATCGTAGTTGCGCAAGCGCAAACTAAAGGTAGATGCGATCGTTTAACATTTATCGTTTTGTTATTATTAAGTGGAATAGTTGCAGATCTTCTTCCTATCGGTACAGCAGTTGGACTAATTTGATGAGAAGCTACATGTCTAGCGACTTTTTTCTTTGCTCTGTCCATGCAAAACTTTAAAAAAATATAATTCATATTATACCCATCCTTCCTGGAAGAACAGTTTACATATTAGTCAGATCAAAATCCGTTCTGTAGTTTAGAAAAACTAATTGCACATGCTACAGACCTGGATAGCAACTTTGTTTTATTGGGAATTTATTATTACCCTATAATAACAGAAATATCCTTTTTACTTGAACCCTTTACATGGTCAGAATTTACAATAAGTTTACAATCTAAACGTAATACACCACCTGGTATGGATGACTAGTGACTACCCTTATCTATTGATTAAAAATTTGGATGAATCGGCTCAAAAATTATTTCTAGATATCCACAATCTACTTTGGCTTAACAACTATATTCCACAGGCATGGAAAATACAGTGTTCCAATACTCAAACCGGACAAAGCATAAGAACTTGATAGCTCATATGGACCAATTTTTAAGGTCATGTCTTGGCAAATTTTTTGAAACAATGTTCAAAGTCCGTCTTGACTGGTGCGTTGAAGTTTATCACATGAAGGTTCCTTTAAAACTTTTAAATACGTTTTAAAGCAAGCTATTGTATAAAGTGCGTTTAGCTGGAATGGTGGTCTTTAATATATCGTGAACTTCTATATATGTAATAATAGTACTTAATAAATTCTGGATACATCATATGCTCATAAAATATATGAATAAATTTGGATGAATCGGCTTATAAATTATTTCTAGATATCCACAATCTACTTTGGCTTAACAACTATATTCCACAGGCATGAAAAATACAGTGTTCCAATACTCAAACCAGACAAAGCATAAGAACTTGCTAGCTCATATAGACCAATTTCCTTATCGTCATGTCTTGGCAAATTTTTTGAAACGATGTTCAAAGTCCATCTTGAATGGTACGTTGAAGCTAATCACATGAAGGTTCCTTTAAAACTTATAAATACTGTGGCGAGTAGGCAGGCGAGTAAGATACCAAGTTCAAACGCAGCATCGGATCACGCCACCGCATCTGTAAAAGCCTTAGATAACTGCTCCAAGGCAGCGTTCTGTATTTGCATACTTGCTGGCATGCTACTACTAGCACAAGCTACTTGCCCAGCTGAGACGATGTCGTGTATTCGATCGGCCAAGTCTGCTAAGTCTTCGAGCTCCATGTTTGCTTGTGATACCACTATGGTTTGCAGATTAGGAGGAAGTCTACTCGACCAGAAGGTGCGAATGAATTTGTCAGGCATAGTTGGTCCAGCCAGATGCTGCAGATGCCGAAGAAACTGAGAAGGCTTGCGGTCTCCGAGCTCCTCGTTCATCATAAACTGCTGAATCTTACGCTCGCGATGAGATGCGGAAAGGCGCTTAATAAGTTCCGATTTAAAATTTTCATATTTACCTGTGGCTGGTGGAGTAACAATTTTGTCTCTGACTTCAGCGGTATGCTGTGGTTCCATCTGCGACTGTACAAAGTAGAACTTGGTTGAATCCAAAGTTATATTGGATAGGGCAGACTGACCTTCTAGTTGCGCGAACCAAAGTTGAACATAGGTCGGGGTTGAACATAGGCGTCCTCACTCCTACTCTGCAGGCCTCCATAAAGACGCTTTTTGTCTCACCGTGTTCCGTCATAATACTAAGACATCATGGAACATTACAATCTAGCCTAACATAAGACTAATAAGTAATTTAAGTCCAACCTAATTTACTAATTAGGATTTTTACATAAGAAAGTGTCCAATAACACTACTTACAGTCTCTGTTAAAGGGAAGACACTCTGTTCTTGTGTTCTATTTTTTTCTTTCACTTACTGTGTATTTAGTACTGACGTGCACTAACACTAATTCACTAGTTCAAATGGTTTTGTCCTTTTAAGTCGTCTCACTAGGCCCGTGGTGTCAAGGAGTTGAATAGCCTCGACATTCTCGTGATGGTGGAGCCTATGTTCGTGGGCTCCAGCAGTCTTTTTTATTATTGTGGCGACGTCCTCTATATTAAGGTCCCGATGGAGGTCGTTATTGCGAATATACCAGGGAGCATTGACTATTCCCCTGAGCACTTTGTTTTGGAATCGTTGGATTACTTGAATGTTACTATTACTGGTACAGCCCCACAGCTGGCAACCATAAGTCCATACAGGTGTCAGGACTTGTTTGTAAATCAATAATTTATTTGCAAGTGCAAGTGGGCGGAGTTACCTCGCGGCCCACAAAGATCACCCCATATGACGTAGCGGTGGCGTGATCCGATGCTGCGTTTGAACTTGGTATCTTACTCGCCTGCCTACTCGCCACAAACAAATAAATAAAATTACTTTAACTGGAAATAGAATTAAAAAAGTACGAAAGTATTAGCATTGCTCGGACCCCTTGGTAAAGCGGATACAGTACTCGGGCAAAGTGAATATTCATTTTTAATAACTCTGAAAACGAGAGCAACATAAAGAAACTTTTTTTTATAAACTGAAAAAAACATAACTTGAACTTATATAATTAAAAAATTAAGATTGGCGGTTATCACAAATACACTCTTCCGTGGCATCGACTGCGGAACATTCTTCGTAACACCATTGTTGACAAATGTCACATCGAATCCAATTTTCAATAGGATTATCATCTTCTTCAATGTAAATTTCTCCTCAAAAAATGCATAAAATATCCTTAAATTCTTTAATTTTCTTCGGCTGTTTAGCTTTTTTCTTATTTTTGTCAGTCTTAGTTTTCTTAGGAACAGTCCTAACAAGAACTTTTGTTGATTTATCATCCAGTCTTTTAGAAAACTTTATTTTTCGCAAATTTCTGCTTTGGCTCTTCCTTGATCGGCGTACTCGTTAATATTTCAGATTTATGTAGTTTCTGTTTACAAATGGTCATTGGTGGGAAGGATGTGGTATAGATCTGAAAACTCAAGGACTATAGTGGGAGGTTGAGCATCCAGGTTCCGGATCTGGTGATTTGTCACGTCTTGTATTTCGTAGAGTATTTTCTTCGGACTCTGGCAGCTTTGTGTCAATTTTCTGAGCATTTGTAGCTACATCCGGCTCAACAGCGGATAAAATTTGTGAACATCCAGGTTCTGGTTCAGGTGTACACCTGAGTAGCGTAGATATACATCCAACCTCGCTACTAATCTTTTCAGGTGTTTTAAAAGAATCTGTAATTGGCGCCACAAGGGCTTCAAGCTGAGAAGTAGCTCTGTTTGGAGATGGAATTATTTCTACTAGAGGATCCACTGGATTTGGTGAAGAAATTCTTGAAAAAGTGAAGACGAAGGGATTGAAGAAGTTTCTGCAAAAGATCCTGGAATATCAATCCTTTCTGGTGAGTTTGTGCTTTCTGTGCCAATATTCATGTAAGATGTGTAAGATCCATCTGTGTATATACACACAGATGGATCATACACACACACACACACACATAGCTCATTCAGGGTCGACCGATCATGTTCCTCTTCTCTCAATTGTATGTGGATATTTCCTGTTAAATATTATTTGGTAAGTGATTCTATCACAGGGCGCAGCTGTAAGAGGTTGATACTCTATCGCCCTGTTGAGAATCGCTGTGTGTTCACTATAGTGATTTTTTCCCCATAGATCCAGTACCAAGGGCCTGATAGCAGCTAGGGTTGCCTCCTGCTGTATGTGTAGGTCTAAAAGTAAGATCTGCATTCCATTGCTGCAGTTGGTGTTGTTCTCATGCAACCGCTAGTTCAACGCAAGCGCGGACAAGGCAAGCCTTTGGAAGCGTCCAAGTTTTGTAATTGCCGTTTGAAGTTCTGTTCTTGGCTACCAAACCAGGGCTCCGTAGGCTAGCATTGGCCTGATTATGGCAGTATATAGCCATATAGTTATCTTAGGCGACAAGCCCCATTTCACGCCTAGCATCTTTTTGCATTGATAGAAGGCGATCGTTGCTTTGTTTAGTTTGTGCTCTAGATGTTTGTTCCAGAGCAGTTTACTTTCCAAAATCACACCTAGGTACTTGATTTCATTATTAAGTCTGAGTTCAGTGTTGAAGAGTTTCGAATCTCTCAAACACTTTATACTCGTGAAGTTTGTTTTGTCAAAAGCGCCTTCGATGTCAATAAATGCACCAAGGGTTGACTGCTTTAACTTCAAAGAGTTGCCAATGCCAGAAACGACGTTGTGGAGTTATGAGCCCATTGATTTGCTTGAGCTATAGGCATGTTGATTAGGATGCAGGAATTTGGATAGCGATACCCGGCTACGTATCTTCAGGTCTCCCAGCCTCTCCATTGTTTTTGGAAGAATGAAGTTAGGCTAATGGGCCTGAAGGATTTCGCTTGGGTATAGTCCTCTCTACCTGGTTTTGGGATGAAGATGATTTTTACTTCCCTCCATTTCAAAGGTATGTACCGGTGGGCCATACAGGCTCGGAAGACAGATAGTCTACTATTAGGTTCCCACTCCATCTTAGTAAACCTGGGAAGATGCCGTCCAAGCCAGCCGCTTTGAATGGTAGGAAGGAGTTGATTGCCCACGTTACTTTTTCACTAGTGATTATTCTGTGAGCTACATGCCAGTCTGAGCTGTCGGTGGCTCTCTCTGAGTATGGTTGCCATGCCTGATCATTGGCAATTATGCAACCCGGAAAGTGTGTTGCTAGTAGTAGTTCACATGTTTCTGCATCAGTTTTTGTAAATGAGTTGTCAGCTTTTCTAAGACAACCGATCGAGTGATTGGGCTCTCTGGAGAGGCATGATTTCACCCTGGTTGCCTGGTTGTTGTTTTCAATACTGGTGCAGAAGTGTCTCCAACACTCTTGCTTCCTAGTACGTAAAAGTTTTTTAAATCGCCTTCTCTCGACAGTGTACTTGTCCCAGTCGGTTGGTAAACGTGTATTCCCTAACTTGTATTTAACAGTTTCCTGACCTTCCGGTGTCTCTCCAGTTCGGGGCACCACCAGTTATTTCTCCCCCCCACCTTGGTATGGTATGGAAACACGACTGTTCATAGCTTGTTAGGAGTAGGGACGTTAGGTTGTTTACATGTTCTTTCATATCTTGTATCTCAATGGTAGGATCAAAGGTTCGAGGTGGTGGGATTATCTCAAAGCTACCGGGCAGGCTCACCACGATAATTAAGGGCTTGAAGTAGTCTTCGCCACTTTGAGAGGAAGCGAGAAATGAACAAGACAGAGCAATATTCAAATCTGGTTTATTGTTATAAAACAATATCTTAAATACTAATTACACCTATTCACACATACATGATATTTTTCTAGTGAGCTGTTGGTGTATCGCGTAACCTCAGCTATTAAAATTTGGAACATATATGAGCCGTGTCAGCAGCTGATCAATATTTAAATAAAATATAATTAAAATTGCTATTCAGCTGCTAATATTTAGCAAATACCGGATCCATGTCAGCAGTTTGTTGATGTTTAAATGATGAAATCTGAACATTCTGGCGCCCCACAGAGTCTACAAAGGCTGGTACAGCTGCAGTGTGTGGAGAACAGCTTGAAGGTCGAAGTTGAAGGCCAAAACATTTTTATAATTATTTGCTGCTGCTTTGTCAGCGTCTCTACGCAGAAAGGCATCATCACGTCTCTTGAGATGTTTGGAATTATTGGCATCTTCTGAGATTGTTGCATTACTTTTTATATCTTTGAAGGCTACACATTTTTTGCACAGATCTTTTTTAGGCACATGAAACCTCAGTTTGTATGATCTGAAAACTTTTCGATGTTTCCATACCAGCTGGAATAGTAAATTATTTTCATATCCTTGTGATTGTTCTACTTTTAACAATATGTCGTCAAGGTTTTCCGAAAACTGTGAAGAATCTGTGTCCGTATGTGGTCAATCTGCTCGACCAGAACTATTGTTAAGAAAAGAACTTGTATAGTAGCCTCTGTCGAAACTTGTACTTGCGCTGCCGCTGTTTGAACCAACTGTATTGGCGCTGCCGCTGTATGAAGCAATTCTATTTGCGCCGCCGCTGTATAAATTCATTTCAGCTTGGAATATAATATTATGAATTTGGTTTTGCACTGTAGAAATAGTAAATGGATCCTGTAAATTGCGTAATCTACAAGCAGTATACTCGCCAAAAACAGAAAAATTATCTTGGGTTTTGCGCTCAGTTTGCAATTACTTCATTATGCCGTATGCTTCTTTCTGAGCTTCCAAATTATCAAAAGCGTTCAAACTATCGTTTTTTTTTTCTTTTTCTTTTTTGGAGGAGTACGGTTTTTACGGACAATACAAGTTTTTAATTTATTTGATAAAACTACCCGGTCTTTTCTAAGGGAAAGATTTAATTTTAAGAGATTATGTTTTTTTATTGTTCTCTGTGACCGTTTAATAGTTTTTTTTTAATTTTAATATATTTTTTTAATTTGTTGTGACTCATAATGATAGTGTTTTCTACAAAAGTATCTTTCTTCATGGCAGCATGTGCAGTCTATACATCCCAATACACTAGGCACTAGGTAATAGGAGGCAAACGGGCAGGAGGCTCACCTTATATTAAGTGATACTGCCGCCCATGTACACACACTGCCAGAAGGCTCGAAAGTGCGTTGCCGGCCTTTTAAGAATTGGTACGCTCTTTTCTTGAAGCAGCTTGGGCAGCTGGTTCCACATAGTGACGGTGGGCGGCAAAAACTGCCTTGAAAAACGCTCAGTTGTGGAACGGCGGACGTCGAGGTGATACGGGTGGAATTTCGTATTCTGCCTCGACGTCCGATGATGAAACTCAGCTGCAGGTATTAATCCGAACATCTCCTCTGAACACTCTCCATGGTAAATGCAGTTGACCCCACATCTCTACGCAACGCCAAAGGATCAAGCCGCTCGGAGAGGGATTGGTCGTCGACGATTCGAACAGCTCTTCGTTGAATACGGTCAAGTGTAAGGAGCTGGTACTGGGGAGCCCCCAGAGGTGAAAACAGTACTCCATGTGGGGCCAAATTTGCGCTTTATACAGTTGCAAGCGGTGGCCCGGAGTGAAGTACCGTCTTTCCTTACTGAGCACACCAAGCTTTTTGGAGGCACTTTATTTATGATTTCATAATGTACTCAATAATCATGAAGAATTACTATGTTACCTTTTGCTCAGGCGACAAATCTGTAGACTTTTTTGGTTAACTTAGAAGGGGTCTTAATTCATCACACAAAGCTTGAGTTAACTCCTTTGAAAGCCGATACCGTTTTATAAATTCCGAATCATCTAGATCTAAAAAAGGATCACTTTGTCGTCATCCTGTCTTCGGAGTTGTTTTTTTTTGTATTTCTTCATTTTCCAATTCAATAAACTTAAAAAAGAGTGATATCTGTCATCTAAGAAATGATAATAGAAATTAATATTTTTATGAATACTCCCTTTTTCCCTTCTTCTTCTTAAAATTTAAGAGCCGGGCTCTTGTCTGTGGATTGATCGCCATTCAGTGCGGTTCTGCGTCAGTGTCTTGACCTCCTGGTATGTCACGACCTCAGCTTTTTTCCTTGATATGGTGTATGTAAACTATTCTCGGTGTTCCTCGTCCTCTTCTGCCTTCTATCTTCCCCTCCAAGATGGTCTTACAGCAGTTGTCGTGTCGCACCAGGTGTCCAATCATCTTCCCTCTCCGGTTTACTATGGTACTCAGCCGATTTCGTTTTTCTCCGACCTTACGCAGCACCTCTTCATTGGTCTTATTTTCGGTCCAGCTTATCTTCATCATTCTCCTCCAAAACCACATTTCAAATGCTTCAAGTTTTTGTCTTTCTTGACAAAGGCTATGGATAGGTAGGATTGTACCACTGAAATGGATATACCACTATTTTCTAAATTCTCCGAACTCAGTCATAATATCACTAAAAAGAAACAAGAGTGTATGACAGTATAAAAACATAATTTTGAGTCTTTATTCATTTTTAAGTAGATTTGCATTACAATGTGTAAGATTTGGGAACCCTTTTAAGTAAGAAATACCTGTGTCAGGGTTCCCAGCTCTTCCATAACAAACTTAAATATAATTCCTTAAGATATATTTATATGTAATCTAATTAAGTACATCTTTTATTTAATTTACTTTTCAACTATTATCAACACGCCTGAGTGCATGAGTGAGTGTGTAGGTGCAAATGTGTAAGTGAGTCAGTGAGAGAATGAAAAAGTGTGTAACTACATATATATTATATAGGTCTCAAAAGCATCTCTAACACTGCGCAAGGTATGCTCAGAAGACAATCCTTTACTCGTATCTTTACAATGTGGACGGTGAGCGGGTAGATGTTAAGCAGCCTATTTAATTTATTATATATAAAGTCTGCTTGCATATTGCGTCTGGCGAAGTCAGTCCTTATGGTCTGACCTACGACAACATCCCTATTTCTTTTTAGGTACAGCCTATTATCAAACATCAAAGTCATGTACTAAAGCTATTTTTAGCCGAGTTAGCTGTGACTCATTACATACATGAATAACTGTAGAGTTGTCCTCCTTCCTAAGAAAAACTTTTCCGAAGGACACCCAGCAGCATACATTCCGGATTTAGTGAGGTCCCTAGCCAGAAAGTACAGTCTGTTTGCTTTAACTGTCAAGTGCTCCGATATATAGATAGGGGTGTTATTATTATGTATCCCCACGTGAGATGCACAAATCTTATTTGGAAGGTTTTTACGGTTAAAAACCTTCGAAGCACTGAGTAGGTTAGATTTTTTTCTAGCTAGAGGAAAATTCCACAATTATAGGTCTATTAGACTCATTCTTCTTATTCACCCGATGAATGTCCCTAATGTCGATGTCACATAGATCCACCTTAAGATTTTTAGCAAGGCAGATACGAGTAACTGAGTTCTTCAGGTCTTCCACTGATTCGGCAGGTTTCTCAGGTACGTTCCTAAGCTCCAGTTTTACGGGAGCACGTTGTAAATCTGATGATGTATTCATGATCCTTTTTTCGTACCTCCTCAATGTCACGGACTTTTCGAGACAAGTCCTCGTATTGAGAGGACAGAAAGGAGATAGATTTTTCAATTTCTTGGTTCGTAGCCAAAATAGCTTTTTGCTGCGTCAACAATGTAGCAAACATATACCTCATTTACTGCTTAAAGTCTTCAAAATCTGATAATTGCTCGACATACCGTTTTCGCTTTATTCGGGAACTAACAAAATTGGGCGGCGGCGGCGAAGTATTATCACTCAATACTGATTGTATTAGATTAGGGTCAGAATTGCATTTGTTAGGAGAACGAATCATAATTTCAGTACTGTTGGCTCTGAAATCACTAAATTCTTCGTTTGGTCAACTCAAGCGCCACCCAAGTCCAAATGTTTGCAAGTACCAGGAGCTCAAGAGAAACAAAACAGTAGCAATAACTAGCAGACAGAGGTCTAGTTAACTGGTCGCCGATCGATGGTTTGGAACAAATCGCTTTCCGTCCAGTCTAACGAGATCTCTAAGTGACGGCGGGTAGCACGAAGTTCGCAAAATATACTTGTCTCCCACTATCTCATAAATGCATGCTACGCATAAAATATTGCTAATACTATGGCACTCACGTATAGAAGCGTCAATTTCCTTTGATGGCCGTAGTCTCCTTTTCAAGTACGTAGTGTAGTTAAGGTTTATGATCGCCTAGTTATTGAGGTAACAAATCACTCGAGAAATTTGAAATAATATGTTATAGGAAAAACGACAAAATGAAATAAAATAATAAACGTTTGATGGACACGTCTACACTGCTCTGCGGTCTGAGAGGAAGAGTAAATTGCAGTTAATGGTTTTCGAGATGTAGAAATTGTAATTCAAGAGATATTTTTCTAAAACTTTTCATAACTTATAGCTATTAAGTACTTACTTAAGTATTAAAGGTTTTACAAAAAAATATAATACTTAAGTGTTTTTTTTTAATTTACAACGTACATAGCACCTTCATTCATGAAATCGAGAGTAGTATTAAAAGCACAATATATTGTACGAAGGTGTTTATTATGACAAAATATCTTCGAAAAAGTACCTAAACTCTGGTTTCACAAATTTAAGTTGCTCCCTAATATTATCTCGCTTCTCTACAGATATTGTGCCATATTTATTGGCTATGCGTTCCAAAATAAAATCATCAGGTGTTAAATTTTTGTTCGATATATCAACTATTTTAAAAGATGTCATTAAATCATAGTTTTCTTTAAAGAGATAGACCCAAATTCTTCCACTCGGATCTATCGAATTCCATCTCTGAAACTGTCTTTAGATTTATTCACATCTTTTTTACTGTTTATCAGGTGTAGTTTTTCTTGCAAGTCACTAATTTTCCTAAAATGTCCATACATATCTACAACCTGATTTAATCTTGACGCCTTGCAAATTATTTAACGGTATTGTTCAAGTACATATACTGTTTCGTGTCTCCGGAGTACTTTTTCGATCCTACCAAAATCACGGTCTGAATCAAGATATGAGTGTCCATCTTCTGGAAATTTGTGATCTATTGTCTTAAAGTAACCTTTCAGTATCATATACGGGTATTAGCAAATCATGTTAAAATTCTTATTTTGCCCGGCACACGAATCTGACCATATAACCAGGTTGTCCTTTTTTTGGTTACTATTATGGTTTGTATCAACAAAACGTAATAGAGCACTAGCAATTTCACAGCTTCCACGATCAGCCACATCTTCGGTCCATGTACAAAAAAACGTGTTTTCTTTGTTTTTGGTAACGACATGAATCTCAAAGTTGTAAAACCATATTTGTCTCAAATAGAAAGCTTTTGACGTGAGTATTTTTGGTAAGGGCATGGTCTGTTGTAAATCTATAGTAAGAAACATGTCATCGTCCTTTTTCTTGGCATTTTCTCTATCCAATCTCATTGCTTCAACAGCAGCGTGATGATTTTCTTTATGTTCTTCGGAAGTCCAGCATCAAAAGTGGCGCAAGTGTCACTTTTCGGGTAACCAAATGACAGGTTAAGTTCAGTCATAAAAACGTGGTTAAAGGTTTTTTATCTTAAATTTGTCTAGCAAATTTCCTGCACAGCACATTTCAATGTTAATATTGTACATTTTTGTTACATTGAGCAATGGAGATAGATATAACTTATGTGCATTATTGTTGCGAGAGTAATGCGACTGATCTGCCGGAAAACTTGCAATGTGGTGTTTGATCCGGTCTCTCACTTCAGAGTCCATCTTATGGGGTCTACTAGCATGTCTTCCACTTCGGTCAGGTGATGGGGCTGAAGCTCCATTTTTATCTTTTCCTTTATGATATTCAATTTCTTTCTCCCAATTTGAAATAGAACACATAAAGCCATCTTACAAACTTCTTCTCTAACACCACTGCAAGTGATAAAACACTTGTAGGTAGCGGTTTTGTGTTTTATTGACCCTTTTCTTTGTCTTGCTTTAGGTTTTTTCACAACGTTGTTGAAAAGCAATGCATTTTTCCCATTGACATCTAAGGAGTAACAATCTTTTAAGATCCGCTCCCTTTGGTCGATTGTAAATTTGTCCGAACATATGAGTCTGCATTTTTCTTGGCACAACTATGCTTCTTTTACTTCCTTCTTAGCCATTTTGGTGTTTTTTGTATGACAAATATTCTCACCTTTGTCCTCATTGAGAGCTTGATTTTCTACATACAAAGAGTTACGAAGAGTAGTAGATCGCATATTTTGCAATGTAGTGGTTAATAAAAGCAATTATTGCTTTTACTAAACATCATTAATGAGTATTTTTACGCGCAATCAGTGTATTTCCGAGTGCAATTGAGTTTCTCATTAATTATTTTTAAATCCTTGAAGGTCTACGAATGTTCTAACCGATTCCCTAGCTCTTAACAATATGAATGGAACAGTTGGAACTCACATGAAAACCTAACCTAGCAGCACTTGACGCTGTCACGCCGAGTTACTCAGTCACTACAACTATATATTAAACACGTTTACATTCATCATAATAATAAATATATCACACAATGATCAGTATTGGCAACTAATTACTAAACAAAATATTGTAAGCATAGCGTTTGGTCTTTAATATTTACAATACTGTCTAATCGTACAATATCTTCTCATCACCTTCGAAGTTTACTGAAAAAGAAAGAAATATCTTTTAAGCGACTGATATGAAAACACTTGCAAACCATTTAAAAACGTTTGAACTTCCGTGAAATCTTTAAACTATTGTGCGGTTTTGTATTCACTATTTACACCTTAGTTGGACGCACTGACATAAGTATAAATAATATTTTACATAGGTACGTACTATGACAGGCAACGATTATTATAAAAATACTTTATGTCAAATATTGGGTTATATTACCAAATAATCCGGCTCGAATGACCAAAACGGTTTTATGTTCCTTGGCTGTATATATTTATTTTGATAAAAACTATTGTTGCTAAAAATACTTAATTTTCCATACCCGCAACTTCGCATCCTTACTTGCTATACCAAAGTTTTGAATGGACTAACCAATTTAAATTATTTTCAATATAAAACGTGTTGTAAACGCTTGCAAATCGCAACAGAAACAACAACGATTGTTTTCAAAATTAAGAATGTAAAAATAATAATGTTGCAAACTGGCATTGGGAAGATGAGATAAGAAGGCTAGAATGGTATAGAATAGCGAAGCACAGATAAACATGACGACATTTGGAGAAGGCGTTTGTCGAGAGACTAGCTTATTAGTGGTAATAATAGTAAATAAGGAAAAGGATACCCGAGACTAAGTACAGCAATAGAAGCTTGTCTTATGTATATTTTTTATAGCTATGTATAAAATTTTATAAATATAAATTGATATTTTACTGAATCCGTCTGGTGTCTCAATAGAGGTTATGCATATGACATTTGTTTTTCCATCCGTTGACTCCAATACTATAAATTTAAACAGTAGTTTCTCCATTTTTCTGGATTTACCTAAAAATGTCGTTTTATAAGATTATAAATCTTTTTATATGGAATTGATTCAAATAAACAATTGTGTTTCTCTGAAAACAAGGATATTTATTTTATTATCTACACACTATACTAATTACATTATTCTAAACCTAAATAACACTACCCTACCTGAACACAAGGAAACGACATTAAAAGTTTATTATTAACATTATCAATTCCTTTTTACAACAATTTCACAATCAAACAATACTGAATTTAATAACGATGACTTTCACTTGTCAAACTTCAAACTGCTTCTTCCAACCAAGATGGCTGATGGCGCCATCTAGTAAATAAAAAGAAACTTGAAGTTTCTTTACATATCTATAAAATTTATGAGAGTTTTACTCTTATGAATTTTATAGCTCTGTGTAATGCAGAATTTGACCATAAAATGTATATAAGACGATTACAATGATAAAATCCCGTAAAATTACCGTAAAGACATAATACTTAACTAAAATATTAACATTATATAGTTTGTATAAACACAATATAGAGAGAGAACAATATTTTGTGTTCAAAGTGCCAACTAGAGTTATACGAAAAAATTCAAATAAAAGCACCGTTGTGAATAGGGTAATTTTGTTATTTATTATTAAACTAGCAGACCCGACAGACGTTGTCATGTATACACGTCTTTAATAATAAAAAATCTAATTGTAAATCTAAACCGTTCCCGAATCACTGGAACACACTCAAACATTTTAATAAAAAAACGGTCCAGCAGGAAGAGTTTCATTAGAAACGGAAAAAAAAGATTTTTTTTACCAAAGGCCTAGCTATCTATGGTAAAAAAATCTTACCCTTTTAAATTATCCTTATAGGTGACAGGTTTTCGCGCCCGTCTTGTCCTTCGGTACATCTTCGGTAGATCATCACTACATTCGCTGACAGTATCTGTACTATTATTATGCTCAACAGTGCGGCTGTCGTGGTTCGCCTGGCCCACGATTTCTGAAGTACTTGCATTTATTGTGTCCCCAACCTTAGAAATAAGCTCCTTGAGATTTTCATCTGGTAGTTTTTCGACGCCCACTATTTCTCTGCGATGTAGAGAAGCCTGCTCAAATTCATGGATCTTCTGTTCAAGCGCAACGTTGCACTTCTCTAAATAAACACATTGTTTATATTTACAACTGTCTTGTCCAATCTACTAATCTTTTCCCGTGATTGCTGGTTTTCCGCAATAAATGTATCGTACTTATCTGATAACAAGCTCAGACTTTGCGTTATTTCATCAAGATGTGTTTTTACTTGCGGTATTTCACCTACTATATGGATAATTCCATGTTTCTAAAATATTCATCTAAGTTCTAAATATTAAAAAAAAACAAACAAGTCGCCCTTACTTTTCAGACAATGATTCCAGAAATTCAAAATTTAGTGGTTGAGAAAATTTAAAGTATACTATCAGAGACAGATTGTATTTCCGTAACCACCGACATGTGGACGTGCTTGCATTATCATAACAGTTTTTTTAAGTTTTACTGCACATTTTATTGACCGCTAATTCAACCTCAAACATGTAGTATTGAGCATCAAGCATTTTGGGGGACAACACACAAACGAATATATAGCTATGAATTTACAAGAAATTGCAAATTTGTGGGACATCCGTCAAAAAATTCATATTGTTATTCATGCTTAATGGACGAAACATAGTAAAAGCTGTTAGTGATGCAGAGTTGGCCTCAGCACGTTGTTTCATTGATACTATTCAATTGATTGTCATTAGCCCCGTCCACACCGAACGATCCATCGCGATCCGATCGCGCGCGGCATGAGCGCGATCCAAATGTGCAGGCGTGCCGCGCGCGCTCCACACCCAGGGCCGTCTTAAACGAGGCTGGGACCCTTGGGCACACAAGAATTTGGGGCCTTTTTGGAAAGTAAAAAGCTAATTATAATAAAAAAAAAATTACTAGTCTGGCTAATGAAAGAAGATAACGAAAAAGCGCGGCAAATTAAAAAAAAATTGTATGGTATCCCTTTAAAGTTTGATATATTTTGTGGATTAAACTTACTTGATACTTATTTTATTTTATTATTATCAGCACTCAACCAGGAGGAAAGCTGTTGTTTCAGATATATTCTCTATATTTTTCAAATTCGGGAACATGATACAGACTCGGTTTCTGGTATATGGATTTTTAATTTTTTCTTTAATATCATCAATTTGGTATAAAATCAAATCCTCTTTCTCGGGCCACTTCAGTTTTTGAGTGACTGATGCATGGAATTTATCAATGCTCCCTCTTGACAAATTGAATCGATTCTGCCAACAAAGAAAATTGCCCTCCTCAAAACTTTTTGTTGCCTCTTCCTCGTCTTCTTTTTCAGTTTCTGTTTCTTTGTCCCTTAATAATTTTATCCTGTGTTCTAGTTCCTCTGCTATTGTTTCATTGGTATCACTGGTGTCGCTTCTAATGACTCTGACTCGTTTCTTTATTTTGTTGGTTATTTGACAGGTTTTTATTGCTTTTTTTGTTCTTTAAATTTGTTAAAAATGTCTATTTTTCTATTATGCTCCTCTTTTTCATTTTCTTTCGCCAACCAATAATCTTGCCATTTTATTGAAGTGGTGGCGAACGGGAGCCGTTCCTTTTTGGGTTTTTTTATTGGAGAATCTGAGGGCCATATTATTTGGTTTGCAAAAGCAGGACTTGTTTTTGCTTTCCAGCCAAAAGGATATTTCTTGTAGAATTAGAGGATTGCTGTTGAGCTGCCGAAGATGTTTTTATTTTTGGAGGGTAGCATTCAAAAAGCTTTTCAGGTGACCGAGGCAAGACCCGATTACAAGATCGGGTTGTAGTTTCAGACTTCTTTAATAGATGTGGTGCCTTTGAGAGTGGAGTATAAGATCTGGTGGGAGATTCTTCCATTTCTGGAAAATATTGTACTATAGAGATAGTACTACTACATCTGGTACACAAAGAATGTATAAGAACGAATACAAAAAGCCATCACCAGCAGCAACCACCACCTCTATCTCACCAGTTAAAAAGGCAAGGAGTCCAGCTAAAGATTACTACAGTATTCAAGGACAGAACCTAACCATAAGTTAAATCCATAGCACCAGCCTGGTCAGCCTTTAGAAGTTTCTAGTTAGTCGCATATAGGATTAAGCTTTTTTAAATCTATTGCCCAATTTAAGACTCATGAAAATCGGTCCTGCAGGTGGAGTTTCATAAGTAACAGAAAAAAAAGATTTTTTACTTATTTTTTTTTAGATTATCCTTATAGGTGACAGGTTTTCGTGCCCGCCTTGTCCTTGTCTTTGGTAATTCATCACTATATTCGCTGACAGTATCTGTACTATTATTATTATATACGGCTGTCTCATTTATATTAAACCTTCGACATGACTTTTACTAGCTAACCCTCGGTTTGTCTATTCCAAATTCAAAAGTGGATAAAAATACCCATATGTACTGATACATGCCATTAAGCTGCTTCGTCGTGTTCCACAACAGGGTTCTAGTTACCTTGGTAAGTGCTTCGTTGATGTATATTTTGTTGATGGCCGATCGACCTGTGATTTTGTCACTTTCGTAATTTTACGGCGCCAACCAGGTATCACGGGAGTCATCTCCTGAGACCTTGAATGTCATCACTATAGGTGCCGGCTTTGAGCTAGTTTTCAGAGGGCGGGTGGTCGTGGTTCTCCTGGCCCACTCGATTTCTTAACGAAAATGTCATAAACTGAATGAAAGAAGATAACGAAAAATTGCGGAAAATTCAAAAATTAGTTTGATATATTTTGTGGATTAAACTTACTTGATACTTATTTTATTTTATTATTTTTTACATTGATAGTAACTGTATTTCCATGAAATTAAATACTATACGTATTAAGTCTTCTACTATTGATACTTTAAATGATTAGCATTGCATGGAAAACTGAAACTATATTTATTATAAAACACAACTTTATTTGGAATAAACAAAATCAGAATCCAAAAAACAATCTCGTATATATCAGAGTCATTGCTGTTATCACTGTCTCTCACATTGATTATGAAACTTTCTAAATGTTCCTCTGTAGTCCTGTCCCTTTTTTTATTTTTTTTTATAGTATAGGGGGGGGGCAAACGAGCTTGCGGGGCGACCAAAAAGGGCAGTCTGCGCAGCCCATAGACCCACGCCTATTCGCTGACAGTATCTACTATTATTCCGCTCAACAGAGCGGCTATCTCATTCATATTAAACCTTCGACATGACTTTTACTAGAAACCCTCGGTTTGTCTATTCCAAATTCAAAAGGGGATAAAAATACCCATATGTACTTGTACATGTCATTAAGCTGCTTCTTCGTTGTTCCACAGCAGGGTTCTAGTAACCTTGGTAAGTGCTTCGTTGATATATATTTTGTTGATGGCCGATCGACCTGTGATTTTGTCACTCGTCACCTTCGTCAATTTATGGCGCCAACCAGGTGTCACGGAAGTCATCTCCTGAGACCTTGAATTTCATCACTATAGGTGCCGGTTTTGCGCTAGTTTTCAGAGGGCGGGTAGTCGTGGTTCTCCTGGCCCACTCGATTTCTGAAGTACTTACATTAATTGTGTTCCCAAGTTAGTAGTTTTTCAATGCCCACTATTTCTCTGCGATTTAGAGAAGCCTGCTCATATTCATGGATCTTCTGTTCAAGCGCAACGTTGCACTTCTCTAAATACACTTATTGTTTATATTATAAGTTGGGGAAAAAGTTTCTTCGTATTTTTCAAGAAAATTCACAACATTTTTTAATATAGTTTATTTACATATAACTAAAGTATGTAGGTACCATTTTGTTCGATAACTTTTTGCCATCTTGTAGGTAGGGATTTGGTCCCATTGCTATAGAAATTTTGGGGCTTCTGATCAAAATACCGCGATAATTGGTTTTGGCAGTCCTCTCGTGATGTTAACCTGACACTGCCTAAATAATTCTGAAAATACCGAAACAGGTGGAAGTCTGAAGATGCAAGGTCAGGTCTATACGTCGGATGCATTAACACCTCCCAGCCAAGATCTCTTAATTTTTGCTGAGTGGCTAAAGATGTGTGAGGTCTAGCGTTATTTTTATGAAAAACCACACCCCTTCTGTTGATTAATTCCGGCCGCTTTCTCTCAATTCCTTGCTTTAATCTCATCAGTGTTTCAGAATCGATGGTCAAAAATTTTTTTGAAAAAGCTTAAACCAAATTTGTGCCACTCTCACAGACACTGCACTAGATCCATAAACATCGCAAAATTTTTTTCGCGGCTTGCGTTGCATTTTTACCTTTTTTGTAGTAAAATTTTAAAATGTATCGAATTTCTTCATTAGATTCACTTATCTTGACGGTACGAAAAATAAATAAAAATCACACATTATCCTAATATGAATTTGGAATTATCTTCTTTAAAATCCTTTTGTTTCACCTTTATAATAGAAGATATAATCAGAACATCTTATCGATACGTTAATTGGCAAACCAGCTAACTCCATACAAGCAAATTTTTCAGGAGACACTTAAAATGTTATCAAATTTTTTGTAGACTACTTATGAAAAAATTTAAAGTACCGTTGGTAGATATTATCGTAAACTGTTATTCTCAATACTATAAAATCCGTTATACCGTTTCATTACAATACTACAGCTTTTTTAGGAGTTATCCGTTTTTCCTTTTCTCGATTGATTTGCTGATTTGCTCGATAGATTAATTTAAAAAAAAGTTTTTTTAAGTTTTAATTAAAAGCAAGTATACTTAAAAATAATCATAGAATGATAAAGACAAGATTAAATGGTACACAATTTTAGGCTTCATGAGCAAGGTTGTCATAATAGTTTTGGTAATCTCTTGGCATTGAGTTTTTTAATTGCTGTAAATCTAAATATTTTTTTAGTAATTTAACTGCGTTCGTTGTACAGGTTAGGTAAATTATGAAAAGGAACGTTGGTAATTCGAACATTCCTACGTTGATTGAGCAATTTATACTCTTCGGTTAATTTAAGCTTATAAAACATTTTATTTATTTATTTATTTACACTTCATTGCCATAATACACGTTGAATAAGAGCGGTAATATTATGCAACCCTGGCGTACTCCATCACTAGGATGGAAATCACCTGATAGGACATCATCTGTGCGTACTGAAGCTGTGCTTTCTTTATAAAGCCGTCTTAAAAGGTGCACAAGATGTTTTGGTGTGCATATTTTCTTTTTTTGAACTTTACATTTTAGTATTTGAAATTCAAACAATTGACCAGAGTGGTCAGATGTAAGTTTGTTGATAATACAGGCGTTGAGAGGAACTATATTACTATAGATATTGTCAATACATGTTGCCGTGGTGGCTGTTACCCTACAATAAAAGTATTAATTAAATTATATGATTTAAACAGATTAAGCAAACGTTTACTTGAACTACAGTTGTCAAGCAAATTTACATTAAAGTCTCCACTAACGATCAATATTTCTTAGATTTTTGCAATTTGTACAGAACCTGCTCCAATATTTTTTCTAAGCTATCATATTGAGCTGAAGGAGGGCTATACAAACTAACAATGATAAATTGCTCCAGCTCCACACAAGATACTTCTATAAGGCGTTCCACAGAGAGGCTCACTGTCCTTCCTTTCTTTAAATTTTATTTTTTTACTAAGCAATATTAATGAGCCACCGTGTATTGCATTTCCTCTGCAGAACGAACTACCAATCTGATGATTACAAAAATTGAACATAAGTTCACATGTCTTTAACCAGTGTTCTGTAATACACAGTATTTCAACATTTTCACTGCTCAAAAACAACTCAATTTCTAGTAATTTACTTTTCATGCCTTGTATATTTTGGTGAACCAGATTGATAGTATTGTTCTTAAATTTACTTATCTTACTTTCTAATTCTAGGCAAGAGAGACTCTCTGTTGTCTTAGTGTCTAATTTAAATTAGATATACTATTTCTTGGAATATCTTCCAAGGTCTTACTAACTAAAACCTGCTCAATAGAAGCAGGTTGTCTAGCCAAATTCTTGGCTGTTATATACAATAAATATGATAGCGAATCAGCTATCTGTCTTTTAAAATATGTAGGTAGATTATATATATCCTTTGTCAAAAAATAATTATTACAACTAATGTACCTATTGGTATCAATTAGTGTAAAGTTTTTATTGTACAATGTTAATGTGTGCATTGTCTGATTTAAAATATGTCTCACATTATTTTCATGCTGACTGAAGTGTTTACTATAAGGGAATGTTAACATAATTAGATTTTTAGTATTAAGTGAGCACAATTTTTCATAGCAGCTAATAAGCTCCTTTTTTGTTTAAATTTCCTCTATTGCCTATAAATATAATTAGATTATCCGTTTTACTGGAAGTCTCTCTTACAATGTTCTTTATAATATATTGAAAAGTAGCATTTGGGTAACAGCTGTTTATAATATTTTGTTCCTTATTTAAAAATTGGCTCATTTGATGGCCTATTTGGTCACAGTACATTAAATTTAGCTTTGAAATGTTATTAACCCTACATACTGGTGATGGCACCTGTACAGACTGGCTTGAGTTTTCAAGCTCAAAGCATTGTGCTGCAAGTGTGGAGATCTTGATAAGATCTTCCATAGCAGTCGAGTATTTAGAAACCATCATTTGTGACTCCTGGAATTTTGATACCATGGAATCTGCTATATTTTGAAGATCCAAGATCTCCTTTTGCAGTCTCAGTCTCTGAATATAGTTTACTTTTAGGAACATCATGTTTATTTATTTATTTATTTATTACAGAAATACATACAGTATCCTTACAGACTATGCCAATACGATAATGTCGAGAAACATTAAATAAAATATAATAAAGTAGGTACATATATAATATTAAACACATGATATACACAATATCGCTACTGTGAATTCACTCTGCGAACATATAAATAAGTCGATAGTGTCGGAGACAGTATTCAGTAGGCGCAACGTCTTTTTGATAACGGGGATCTGTGCAACAGACTGGTTCTTGCCCTTGGTATCGCAAATAACCTACGCCTTCGCCGTCGCACATATCACATAGGAACTAAGAAACCCAGTTCTTGGAGTACACTTGAGTTGAACACTACACCCCTCAAGACTTTCAATACGTAGTAGGCCAACTGTAAGTCTCGTCTGGTTTCGAATTTATTGTACCCCACCATCCCTAAGACAAATAATGTTGGGTACAGTAAAGGATAGTAGGAATAGACGCCATACAGTCTGCTATAGAGGTATCGTGTAAATTTGTTCTGTATGCGCTCCAACATAAGCTTCTTGCGGAGCCCAAACAGATGAGTTACACTCTAACATGTTTCTTACTAGAGCGTTGTACAAGCTTGAGATGGCTTTAATATTAGTTAACGTTGTTGCCCTTCGAAGCACAAATCCTATTCTTGCGTATGCTTTCTTACAAATGTCCAGTACATGATTTTGGAAATTCAGTTGGGCATCCACTCGCACTCCTAAGTCTCTTACTGACGTTTCCTGCTTGAGTATCACCCCTGTCACATTGTACTCATGATGACGAGGCATTCTGGCACGACTAAATGTCACCATTTGTTCACATAAGTTCGCAAATCTGTATCCACCAATTGTTACACCGTCTGTCCAGTCTTCCAAAGTGATGCGCATTATTAGCTCTGTGTACACGTTGAATAAGAGCGGAAATATTATGCAACCCTGGCGTACTCCATCACTAGGATGGAAATCACCTGATAGGACATCATCTGTGCGTACTGAAGCTGTGCCTTCTTCATAAAGCCGTCTTAAAAGGTGCACAAGATGTTTTGGTGTGCTCATATCTAGCAGAGTCTTCCACAACACCGGCCATCTCACAGAGTCGAATGCGGGTTGCAGACCGAAAACTAAGCTATTCCAAAGCTAAGCTAGGGAAGCTAGGCTAAGCCAAACTAAGCTAAGATAGAAATAAATGGCGTGCACACAAAGAGCTAAGCCAAAGCTCAGTTAGTGTTGCGGAGTTCAATTAGACGGACGTCAGGCGCTTGCTATGAATATAATCGATGAAGAAAGTTCCGATGATGAATACGTTACACATAGAAAAAGAAGATTAATACTGACTTATTATTATTATATAAGAAAACGACATTCTAGACCTTGGATATGTCAACACATTGAATCTCGGCACGCAAGTGGAGAGTTTAGAACTTTATTTTACGAATTAGATGATGAACATTTTCAGTTATATTATCGTGTTACAAGAGTTCAGTTTTATGATTTGTTATCATTGATTATCGGAGATATTACTAAACAAGATACTAACTATCGGAAGGCTATAACCCCAGAAGAAAGATTAGCTATTTGTTTAAGGTAAGCAAAACTATTTTAATTAAAAAAAACATTTATTTATATTATAAATGCCAAAAGGTTACAAATTATCTAAGTTATCGTTTTGAGTTGGCGTCGAAAATGTGGATGATGATGAGTACCCACATTGATAAGTCTGCCTAGACAAATAACTTTCATAATTTTCCTCTGCTTCGTTTACAATTTGAAAAAGCTTTTTTTTTACATCTCTTTGTATCCAATCGGGAAGCTTTTTAGTTGACTCGCACATACTGTCAAAAAATAAATTTAACGGATGTCTGTGTTTCTTCTTCTTTTGCCTTCTCAGCCTTCCGTTGCTCTCTTTGCTCACATCGCTTCATAAAATCGTTATCAACTTTCTGAAGTAAGTCGTTTAATGATGCGTCATCGGCAACTTTTCTTTTTTTTATCCTTGGTGGTTCGGAAGTATTTTCATCATCATCATTCGGAATTTCTTCGAAAATCTCAGTACTTTGACTTTCGGTTGATGTACTAGGCAAAGTATTTTGACTTTCGATCGAAGTACCGGGCAAAGTATTTTGACTTTGAGTTGATGTACTGGCCAAAGTATTTTTATCATGTAAAAGAAATTCGAGTAACTCGGCATATTTCCAGTTATTTGCCGGAGAAGCAGCCTGACCACTTACTGGCTTTCATCCTTTTGAGTGACTCTCGATGACTATCTCGTAATTTTTTCCACTCATTCTTCGCAGTTTTCACTGTAACAAACACCAAGTCAAACTTAGTAATAAATATTTATGTGTTTCAGGTTTTTAGCTACTGGCGACTCCTTTAGAACAATTGGATACAATTACAGAGTGGGTAATAATACAGTTTCTTTGATTGTTAAAGATGTGTGCAATGCACTTTGGATTCATTTGCAACCAATATATATGAAGTTACCGACAGAAAGTGAATGGGAAGTAATTGCAGAAGACTTTAATGATAAATGGCAATTCCCTAACTGCCTTGGTGCCGTGGATGGGAAGCATATCTCAATAAAATGCCCTCCTCAGTCGGGTTCTAATTATTTTAATTATAAAAAATTTTATTCTGTCGTCCTTCTCGCAGTCGTTGATGCACACAAAAGATTTATTATAATAGACGTTGGTTCAATGGGCCGATTTAGCGACGGAGGTATTTTTGCAGATAGTGCATTTGGCCACAAATTACAAAACGGGCAATTAAACTTGCCCAATCATAAACCTTTAACGCCTGATGGCGATCCAACACCTTTTGTGTTTATAGGTGATCAAGCATTCCCATTACAAAAACACTTTATGAGGCCGTACCCACGGAGTACATGTTTAGATAACAGAGCAAAAAACACCTTTAACTATCGTCTCAGTAGAGCACGAAATGTAGTAGAAAATGCGTTCGGCATATTAACAGCGCGATTTCGTGTGTTTCGTCGACCATTTGAATGTCAATTGGAACTAGTGGACGTCATTACAAAGACTACCTGTGTCTTGCACAATTATTTAATGTCTTCAAGAACGACAACTAGTAACGCCAATACCGTCAATATTGAAGAACAGCAAACTTTAAGATCGGTACAATACGACAACTTACGAGCAACTAGAGAAGCATTTCGTGTCAGAGAGTTATTTTGTAATTATTTTAATAATGTAAATTAGATTAAACTTGAAATAAAAAATAATTAAACTCACCGTCTGGTATGTCTGGATTACTTATTTCCTCCACTATTTGTTTCCATACAACATCCTTTTTAATTAAATTGTGATAGTCCTTTAACTGTGTGTTCCATAACACAGGAAATTGTTTAACAACTTCGATAAATTGCTCCATATTCGCTACGAAATGACCGTGCGTACGACAAAGGACACTGGACAGCACTGGCGAAGGATGTGCGAAGGGCGTGCGGGGAAGGCGGGAGGGATATAGCTTAGCTCGCGTAGCTGCGCATCGGCATACACAACTAACTTAGCTTCGCATATTTTAGTTAGCTCACATAGCTTAGTTAGCATAGTTTGCGGTCTGCACCTAAGTATGGAAAACTGCGTCAGCTATGCGAGCTAAGCTAAACTAACTTAGCTTAGCTCTTGGTCTGCAACCCGTAGAATGCTTTTGAGAAATCAACAAAGCAAATGAACACGGTCTTATTAAATTCTCTTGACATCTCTATGATCTGGCGTAAAATAAGAATTTGTTCCCGAGTGCCTTTTCCCTTGACAAAACCGGCCTGTTCCGGAGCGATCTCTTTAGAGAGGTAGGCTTTCAGGCGCTCGTTAAGAATATGTAACAACAATTTTGCTAGCGTGTGGTATCAGAGCAATGAGGCGGTAATTGTTACATTTCTTCGTTGAGCCCTTCTTGTGCAGGGGTGTGAATATGGTGTGTGTCCATTCCGAAGGCCAAACTCCTGTCTGCCACACCTTATTGCAGATGAGATGAAACATCTGGTCGCCACGTTCTCCTAAGGCTTTAATTGTCTTTATAGGAATTGCATCTCTACCAGTTGCTATTTTGCTTTTCAGGTTTTTTATGGCAGTTCTTACTTCGGACAGAAGGATGTCTGTTTCCAAATTCTCTGGCTCTGGTTCTGTGCTTATAGACAGTCGCGACTGCGGATCCAGGAACAATAACTGGCAATAGCACCTCCACGTTTCAGAGATTTGTTCGAATTCTGTTACCACTTCTTGTTTGTCGTTCTCGATAGCCCAGGTTTTAGCAGGTAAAGTTTGAAATCTACATATTCCTTAAAGAAATCCTTCACTAGACTTTCTTTATTCAGCGGCATATGTACTTCTAATATGCGTTGTTTTCTATTTGAGATATCTTTAACTGAAATTTTGTCAATGAACCAAGTGAACACTAATATTTGTCGTGGTTTACAGTCTATAGCTTCGTTTAAAATAGGTATTCCCTCATGTTCCCTATTAGAATCTGAATTAGCAGTAGCACCGTCATCTGAAATTTCTACCAGTTCTATATGTTCCTCACATTCTGTGTCAGAGATATTCATTCGATTTTCATTTTCTAAATCAGACAATGATATATCGGGCTGAGGCCTAGGGTTTTTGTTCCTAACTGTCACAAACTCGTCATTAAGTTCTTGTATTACTTGTTGAAGTCTTTCGTCATTATCGTCGAGGTCATCGTCAAGAGCATTAATTCTTATTCTAGACAAAGCGTCCGCATTTGTATTTTGTTGTCCTTTTTTATATTTAATGGGTATCGTTGAGGCTATCATAAAAAAAATCCTATCTGTTCATGGTTCGAACTAGTCGGGTTCGATTCACAGTTAACAAGATGGATGAATATTATCGGTATCAGTGTAATTAACGCGTCTTGAACTGGCTGTTCTCATCGTATCATCGGTATTGGAGGTCGATTCTTGGTATTGCAATTCATAGTTCGTGAAATGCCGACGCTGCTGTGTCGACGACTGTTTTACTGGTGACCTATATACCGCGTTATAATTATTTCGATTATTTAATGCTCTATCACTTCTAAATTGTAAAGAGTTATTATTTCAATTATTTTGATAATTAGATGCATTCGAGTTCATTTGGACGTTATGGGATGGAGAATTAAAATTATTGACTTGTCTCGAATGAGAATTCCTGTTTTGGAACGAATTAAAATTATTAAAATTTAGTCAAAAATTTTGATTGGACCTTGGGTTCTTACTATCGTAAACCGTTTGAAAATTTTGTTCTTCCAACACGGTTTTTAAAGCATCTTCCAGGGTGGTAACATTACGAAATCTCACTAATCTTACAAGATACGCTGGTAGATTAAATAAGAAAACGTTTAATGCTGAATTATTATACGAGTATATTGCTTGTTTGGCCTGTCTTATTTCGAAGTTGTTAATAGTTTCATTTATTTTGGAGAATAAAATTCTCCTTAAATGTTGGACACGGTGACAGAAATCTAAATGACTTTCGTTCCTATCCTTTTTTAAGGAATCTAATTCCATAGCCAGACAATCTTCTGACCTTGGATCGCCAAAGTGTTGGCTTAATAATAACTTAGGGTTCTCCCAAGTATCTATTTGTTCCCGTTCCCCAACTAGACTTGCGGCTTCCCCGGATAATCGACTAGTAATTACGTGAAACAGATATTCATTTTGTAAATGGCCACCTTGAAATGCCTGTAAAATGTATTCGCATTTCTTAATGAATAATGGTAATAATCTAGAATCACCATCAAAAACAGGAATAATTTTTACAATTTCTACCTGTAGAAATTGTAAAAATTATTACCTGAGTACCTGTACTCTTACGATATTTTCCATTTTGAATATTTAAAAAAAAAATTATACTTATAAAATAATTGTTTAAACCTAACTTCTATTAACAATATTTAGATTGCTTAGTAATAATATTTTTCCGGCGTTTTCCAATCCGAAATATTTACGTATAACTAATACAAGAGGAAAACAAGGAAAATCACGGGAAGTGAAAAGATTTACTCTCAGTCCTGTAATCTTGCCCTTGCTCCTCCGGGATACTGCTAGTTCTTGGCTGCTCTTCCACCAATTCCGTGTTGTCCTTAACTTATTTATTTGTTCGGCGATCTCCGTTGAAACGTTGAAACGTACGTTGCCCGGCGGGTACTAGATCACGATGAAAGATGTGGTATAAGCTTCTTCCAGGCAACTATGGAGATCCTACCGGCTGCGCCAGTAAAGGAACGGCAACGGACTTTTGGTTTTTAAATAATTTATTTAAATGAACAGAGTGACAGCACTTAATTAAAACAAAACAATAATCAACTTAATATCTATATCTTCATGTATTTATACATAAGATTACTTACTATTGGTCGTTGCTAACGCACGACCTACATTTGGTTTCGTGCTAGCAAAGCATATGTCAATAGAGCTGTTAGTCTGCGGGTACGAAACTTGCGACGGCCGGAGCGACGGCGGGGCGGGGCGGTGCGGCGCGGAGCGAAGAGATAGCGGTGTCTTGCGTGTGTACGAAACAAACTTCCGCGCAGTCGCGCTCACGTAGTGTTAGCGAGCCCAGTCTCCTAATGAGAGAATTTTTATTACCTAGAGATGGTGTTCATCCAAGAAATCAACGAAGACGAAGTTTTTCCAACACTTAATTATAAGGGTATTTCTTATCAAATTTCAAAATTTTAGAAATTATTTTTATTTTAATTTTTTATAAACTACAGATATTTCTTTGGCACAGATCCATAAAGTTGCTCAAAGAGATTTATTTAGGAGCAATGGTCATCCATATTTTTGTATAAAATCTCTAAAAATGACGTTTAAAAAAATAAATAAATGAGGGAATGATTAGCAGAGTGAGGGAATGATTTATTGTTATATTATAATAAAAAAAGTACAAATAGGAAAATTACGTAAATTTTATTATAATTCATCCACGAAATATTATATTCTAAGAAAAATTAACTCAAAACTTTACTTATAGTCAATATAAGTTTATATAAACTCAAAAATAAACTTACTATAGTATAAAGGTAACAAACATTTTTATCTTTGTACTTATAACTATTTATTATTCAAATTTGTACTTAAGACTTCTCTGAAACTTAGGAAATCTTCTTATTTATATTAAGCATTAATTATTTATTAATATTACTCTGTATTAGTCTATTCTTATATTAGTTTATTTAGTAAATCGATTCTTTTGGTGTTGAAAATATCCCAAATGATAGTGAGTACAATCTTCTTCACAATCTATGCAAGAAAGTCTTCTGCACTGTAAAGTGTTGTTAAAAAATACGAACTGGCGTATTTTTTGTGTTCCCCGAAAAGTAGGAATAGTACTAGACTGTTTTATGAGATCATCCATCAGTGAAATATCTGCTGTGGTATGTGGTCATTTGAATATTGGCGTGCTGTATACATTGACAAGTATTTCGGTCATTCACGTTTTGCCAAGTAACCCAAAAGGGCCTGAATCTACAAAAAGTTGATAAGCTTATCTTATAATTGACTGTGTGTAAAAACTTTTGATGTAAATTATAAAGTGTATCGTATAAAACACGCTTTTTGTCGAGTTTTACCATCTTTGGATTTAAGATAGTCTCTTTTCCCCGGGCACATTCTTGAGTTTTCATCTTTCTCCAAAAATTTAATTACATCGTCCTTTACCTTTAGCATTTTGCCGCTTATTTTTCGAGGTTTTTGTCTTTTGAAAGTATCATGTTTGAAAAATGGTTTCGATACATGAAGTAACTTATATTTCTGCAGTGATTTCAATTTCAACATTTCGTAATACTTTTTCTTTTTTTCATGTTTCTTACCTAAATCTTCGTAACTAGTCTGTAGATCTTTTGTTAACGCTTCTCCGAAAAGTAATTTTTTCTTCACACTCTTAGGAACATTTACATTCCTTAGGAGCACATTTACTTTACTTGCAGGTGATTCTGGGTCATATCTTTTTTCTCTCAGTCTCATACATCTTTTCTTGTATTTTTCTCCTAACTTCACTACATTCTTCAGTCTTTTTCCAAATATGCAATCTTTGCATACAAAACAGCACGTCGCCTTCGCATCTGTCGTCTATTTCGAGCAGCTAAATTTTCTCTCAGTTGTTGCACTGATACTGGGCTAGATGGAGGTGTATAATCAAGTATTCGTTGTAAATTTTGATGTGCTATAGCTTTTTTATTCCTATACACTTTACTATTTTCTTTCAATTGTTTTCGCTTTTGTCTAAGTTCTCTAGCATTCATATGAATAGCTGATTTTACCTGACCTTTCTCTTTTTTCTTTAAATATTTTAATCTTTCTTTTTCCTGCAGTTTTTCCAAAGATTCAGTATTATTTTTCATTTTTTCTCGCCTTTTTCGATCATATTCTTTTTTCTTAATTTTTTTCTGCATCACTCAATTTCTTTGTTCGTGCCATTTTTCTTCCACATACATTTACCCGTTTCAAATTAAATATCATGAAATAGTCGCAAGAAATAAGCAAGAAACACCGAAGAATACTATATAAATCATTCCCTCATACAGCCCTCATTCCCTCACTCCTAAATGCAGTGAGGGAATGGCCGTGAGGGAATGACGAATTTTAACTAAAGCTACAAAAACACCGTCACATAACCTCAATTCACTAGTTCCATTTCGAATATACATTTTACTCCCAAAAACGCATTAAAAGACAAATTATATACATATATACTAAAATGCTTGAAACATACATGTAACGTGAGGTAATGATCGCCATAAATGTAACTCTTAATAATGTTTTACTTAATATGTTTTTTCACAAACTAACCTACCGTTGAGAAGACCATTGTGAATCATTTGACAGTGTTGCCAAGTACTAAAAACTTAAGGATGCGTTCTTGAATATTGTTCTACACGTTTAGAAATCGAATATTCGTAATAGGGTGAGGGAATGATTTTATTTGGCGGGACATATTTACAATCAAATAATTGTTTTTATAAATTCTTCGTTGTTAGATGAAAGTTTTTATAGACAATAACAAACATCTTTCTTGTTTTTATGGTGTACGTTTTTACTGTCCCATATAGCCGGTTTTGATAAAAGATATTGGCTCTTCATTGTCAATTTCCATAATTTCCATATTATTACTGTGATAAAAATGCAACACTATGTACCCGCGCGAGCGGTGAAACCAAACTAGTTTGTTCTCGTCGCTCCGCTCTACCGCCGCCCGTGCATCGCTCGATCGCGCCGCTCCGCCATCGCCTGTTTCGTACACAGCGCCTAATGTTTTTAATGCATTTGATTACATCGCCGTCGCGCCGCCCCGCCGTCTCTCCGGCCGTCGCAAGTTTCGTACCCGCAGACTTACTCTTAACTCGCGCGCGGCGCTGTCGGCGGCGGCGGGGGCCGCTGGTCGCGACGACTGCCTGTAGTAGTTCTCGGGCCGCGGTTTGCGAGCAGGCTCCTTCATCCTTGATGCCCCTTTCTGCCTGTGATTCGGGAGAGGAGCTCGCCAGTTTAAATTATTTTTGCCATTATTTTTATTTTTACTTTTTCTGAGTTTGTTGCGTGCTGGTAGATTGTTTCAAATCTGCACCAGACTGAGATATGGCTTTTGCTGCTTTCAAAGTGTCAGCTAATCCTTGACTGAATAGGTACTTGTCCACCTTTGTTGCTTGAAGTTGTTCTTTTAGATCTTTTTTTAGGTTATATAGAATAAAGTTTCGTCGTGTGACCGAGTCTTGGTATTGGGTGTCACATAACAACTTGTTCGCATCCATAAGTAATTTTGTAAGGGTCATGTTTCTTGTTTCCGCAGACAAGAGCATGGTGAGTGCCTCAGCTATACATGAAGTAGCTGCAGCAGTTTCTGTCTAGTTTTGATACCTTGGTCTCTTTTATAAACCGTGTCTGAGATCGCGGCCTTTACCTCAGCGTTTAAATCAGGTGCATTGATTAGGGTACACTTCCCTGGCAGTAGGTACTTAGATAAAAGTTCTTTTCTTGTATCTTTAGACAACCCAGATGTAGCTATGTGTTGTCGGCGTACTGCAAGATCAGACTGTATGTCTTTACCTGGAGTATTAGACCTTGATGGATCTTCTGCCAATACCTGCAGCAGTTCGTCGTCTACCATACCTAAAATCACGTAATTAGTGAAGTGGTAATCCCAAAGACGACCCGCAGCACTAAATATTTTCGTGAAAAGTACCTACATAACATGTTCTTTAATTAAGTTATAACCCCAGAAGTTACCCGCAAAATTGATTTATAACGAACATGTAGGTCGAGGCATACATAACCAAACCAACTTTCGTATCTTGACGGCTCCTGCGACGGTGTATGGGGCGGCGGCTAGCCGGTTGACCTCGACCGCGTTGATGGCGTCTCGCGACCACGCTGCGAGCGGCTCGAGCGGGTGCACGAGGACGAGGCCGACGTGACGGACCTAGAACGCGACGAGCCAGCCGACTCGGGTTTCGGTGATGGTGTGGGTGCTCTGCTTCGTGATGGCAGCCGCGGCGGAACTTCCAATCTTGAATCACCTCGATGTTGTCGATGTCAAGTACGTTGTGCTTGTGCACGCGCAATTTCATTTTCAAACTCTTTGAATTTTTTCCATAAATCGTCTAAATCGTCACACTCGAGTTTACGCTTACTCATCTTGAAATCTTTTTAAGGAAAAAAATGCGCTGTGCTGCACAACGAAACAAAATATGCGAAGTGGCGGAGCACTAAAATGTGAATGACGATCGTCCGTAGGGCAAGTATTTCAAGACTAGGTACCTTCATTTTTAAAAAATGAGTTAAAATAGGTGTGTTAACAATTATCTACCCTCAACAACGGTGCGGAATGGCGACACGATATGTGTTACTACGAGGCGTGTATTTAAAGTAAGGTCTCCATTTATTTTTTTCACATTAAATAACATGTATTTACAAAGTTTAATACATTGCTGTAAAGCTTGAAATCTAGGCTATTTTTCTATATAATCGCCATTCACTTCGATGAGTTTCTTCATTCGTACGACAAACTTTTGTATCCCCTCCTCGAACCATGATCCCGTCGCCTCGCGCAGGAACGAAATGACCGCTTCATGCACCTCTTCATCATTCGCAAATTTCATTCCTCCTAGATGTTTTTTCAGGGCAGGAAACATGTGGAAGTCACTAGGGGCGACGTCGGGACTGTAAGGAGGGTGGTCCAACACATCCCAACCAAATTCCGTAATGAGTGACGTTGTTTTGTTGGCCACATGAGGACGCGCGTTGTCGTGATGAAGTCGTACTCCCTTGGTCAGCATCCCTCTTCGTTTATTTTGAATAGCTCTTCGAAGTTTCCTCAAGGTCTCACAGTACCGATTAGCATTTATGGTTGTTCCACGAGGCATGAAATCGATCAGCAATACACCCTTTCTGTCCCAAAAGACGGTGGCCATAACCTTGCCTGCTGATTTTTCTTGCTTAAATTTTTTGACTTTAGGCGAATGCGTGTGTCTCCATTGTTTCGACTGCTCCTTCGTTTCCGGTGTGTAATAATGAGCCCATGTTTCATCTCCTGTAACGATTGAATCGAGAAATTCTTCCCCTTCCTCTTCAAAACTGGCGAGAAAGTCTTTGGCACATTGGACACGTTTCACTTTGTGCTACGGGGTAAGCATTTTCGGGACCCACCTGGCTGACAATTATTTACGGTATTGCAGATTATTCACCAAAATTGAATGAATAGAGTCTCTACTGCACACATCTTGAAGTTTTTCGGCCAACTCATTGAGAGTCAACCTGCGATCTTTCAGCACAAGCTCTTCAACTTTCCGCACTGTTTCATCGGAGTGTGACGGCCTGCCGCTGCGCTCCTCGTCATGAACGTTTAGGCGGCCAGCAGAATATTCTCTCCACCATTTTCGAACATTTTTCACATCCATACATTTCTCACCATACACTTCTTCCAATTGACGATGAATTTCTATAGGTGGAATTTTTTTTGCGTGTAAAAACTTAATGACTGAACGTAACTCGCACCTAGCGGGAGCGACAACCGGTAACTCCATCGCAAACGGCTGCTACGTCGAGAATGAGCGTCCTAATGGTTAGGACACCCAGATGTCGACTTGTGGAGGGGGGCCACACCTATACAACAGTGTTGCCGGATTTCACCTAGAGCTACTTGCGGCGATACGGTGGCCTTGGAGACCTTACTTTAAATACACGCCTCGTACATGTGATCTATGCTAATCTTGAGGACAGAGCTCGAGTATAATTACCTACAATGTTTACAATACTAGTCTCTATTGATTGGCACTGCTCAACTGCAAAGGCTGAATGATAACTAAGTAACTGTGGAATTTTTTGCAGCATTTTGCAAGTAGCCCTTTTCAAGCCAATTAACCCTTAAATGGACGATTTTTGTTTCACGTTTTAAAAAAATATATTAGTGTAATAGACATGTAAAATATGAGTGGATATTGTTTTTGAAATGTATTTATTTATTGTTCATTATGATATTTATAAAAAACAATTGCTTTTTTTCGTATCACATAAAGATACACGACATTTTTGGCACATTTTGAATGTAAAGTCTGAACATTTTGGGAATTTGCACCTCTGCTGCTTATCCAGCCTAATTGCCCAATGACATGTCTGATCCAATCTGACGTCTTTCAAAGGAATTGCTTGAGCTGGTCCTTGGAACTTCTTCATTACAAGTTCTCTTTGTATTGTGCTCCTCTAGGTCGACCACGTTTAGCGCCATTTGCAGGTAGACCCAATTTGCAGAGGGTTTCAGCAAGTTCTAGTCTGAATGTACCCAAATTGAGAAGTTGATCATTGCCTTTTATATTATTTACCTTCTTAAACATAACCCATGAATTTATAACTGCGAGGTCCACGAAATGATAAAATAAGCACATGGTCCACTTGCGGCTCTTCATTGTGATGTGATAACGACCTAACGATGAGGTGGACATCTTTGTGTATATATCATGGATAATTTTTAAATTACTGGCTTTAGGTAGTTACTGAGTCTGCTGGGCACAGCAGAAGGCATTCTGATTTAAATCTGTTATTGTTAAAGCAAGGATGGATATAACACAAATATTAAAACCCGTTAATATTCTCTCCTCATGACTCCTCATGACATAGAAGATAAATGACTAGCAAACAGGTTTACAATATCTTCACCGGTAGTACCAATTTTGTCTTGATAACACATCTGACTAGGAATGTTATTGGTGATACGTTTAGATTTTGTGTAGCGCCAAAAAGCTTTTATGTTGAGTTTAACATCCTCTTCAACTCGCTCTATATATGTTCTGAAGCCCCTCTTGGTTACTTCCTTGGCTCTAGTTCTGTGCATAGAGAACTCATCATAATCCCTGGGGTTTCCAAATCGCTTAAATCTAGTATGAGCTTTGTTTTTAGACTTGAACAATTTAATTAAACTTGGGCGCTTTTCGCCTCCTCCTCATACCTTTCTCTAGCTTCTATGTACTCCTCCACGACCTTCTGTCGTCTGACTGGTCAGGCACATCTAATCCTTCGCTTTTTCGTTGCTGCCTCCTTCTTGAGTCTTTCGAGTTCGTCGGACCACCACGCGATTTTTAGTTTTTGGTTATCCTTTATTTTCGGAATTGTCTTGTCACATGTTATTAATACTAATCTTGTATAATGTTCAATTGCCCAATCGATTTCTATTCTGTCCTTTATAGCTTCTACTTTTTCTTTGAATTTTTCTTCTTCTAAACTTTTCTGCAACATTTCTTTGAACTTTTGCCAGTCCGCTTCCTTGTGGTAGCTGCGGGTTTTTTCTGACTTGTCTTCTCTAGTTTGATTTGGAAGGTTATTGTGTTATGGTCCGACGACATTAGCGACGTATTTACTTTCCAATCGTCAATATGATCAAGCAGATCCTCAGTACTTAACGTAACGTCGATGTAGCTTTTTAGACATCGGGTGCCTCTAACAGTATCGAATGTTGGGACCTGTCCATCCTGTTCAATATGTGCAGGCCCCATTCATTGACACTAGCTTCGAAGTCCAGGCCTCTCCTATCGACTTTGGAGCCACCCCACCAGGGGTTCTTTGCGTTAGCGTCTCCTCCTAGTATGATTCTCTGCTTGACTGTACTAACGATATCTCCTAGCTGTTTTAGATAAAGACTAATATCCTTTCCGGGCTCGAAGTAGTATGAAACCACTATTACGTCCCAGCACTCTGTGCTTAATCGGGCCGTTACGACGTTGGTAGTGGTAAGGGCCGGGAATTGTGTGATTCTGATATTATTATCAAAGACCACTACAGCGGCCTTATTTACTTCGCCTTCGAGAAGGTTGTTGCATTGGACAACTCTTATCCCTGTGTAGCCTCTCCGCCTGTGTTAGAGCCTTCCACATCCTTGGGGAGACCTGTATTATGACGTGACACTCGTGCGGGTTTCTGGAATTTGGCCTGTGCTTTTCGGTCATAGACCAGTCTTCTTCTTGCATGTGTTCGGTCAATCCTTTATTGTGCGTTTTCAAAGCTTGTTTTATGTCTTCTACGTAGTCGGTCCCAAAGTTCTGTCATAAATGGAAATAATGATAAAAACAAAAGTACTGATCAGTTTGTAATGAGTGATATATCAATTCTTAGTACATTAATTAAGGAATAAAAAAAGCATAAAAATATTCGAAATAACCTCCCTCATTTTTAATACAGGCCCTTAAGCGTCGCGGCCAGTCGTCTATCGCAGCACGCACCATATTCGTGTCGATTTCAGTCACTGGTTTTTTAAAGATGACTTCAGATTCTCCAAATTTTCATGAGGTTTATCACAGACCTTCCTCTCTAAGCCCTGTCATAATTTCTGGTCCAAAGGATTAAGGTCCGGACTGGAGGAAGGCCAATCCTCATGTCTAATTAAGACAATGTTTTGACGCTCAAACCAGGCTTTAGTGGTCTTGGCTTTGTATGCAGACGCAGAGTCCTGCTGGAACACGAAGTGATGTCCCGCAAATAGGGTGCTGGACATGTCTTTGACAAGGCGATACAAAACCGTCTCTTGGTACACTGTAGCACTGGTTTTGACCCCCTTTTCGAAAAAATTAACCTCAGTTAGCCCGTAATAGGACACTCCCAACCAAACCATTACTGATGATGGATGATGTCCATGTTGCACCCTTGGAACTTTATTTTCAGCTTCTTCAGAACTCCTAGCGTACACTGTATAATTCTGTTTATTGTACTTCTCTTCAATATCGAAAAATTTTTCGTCCGTAAAGAGGATATCACGGTGTCGGTTTTTCGCGTACCGCTTAAACAACACCCGCGATCTCTTAAGCCTTATTGCTTTTAGACGAGCATTAAGTAAGTGCCCACTCTTTTTTTGTATGCTCGTAGACCAAGATCTTCATTTAAAACCTTTTTTACTGTTTTCCTACTGACACCCATCTGCAAATCCATCAACTTCTGTTTTCGGACAGGATTTCTTACTATCCGCGCCTTGATAGCTTTGATTACTGCTGGTGTTCTTGCGGAGCGTGGCCAGCCAGTTCTTTTCTTGTCCTCAACACTGGAGACTTCAAGGTACCTATCAATAGTACCGTACACAAACCTAAGCGTTATATTCAAATTTTTGAGCAACTTGAAAATGGTACTCGGCGAGTGTCCACAGCGGTGCAACGCAATAACAACTATTCGGTTTACTTTCAATGTCCACTCCATCGTGAAAAATTACGGAAAGTTATTGTTTTTGTTTTAAAACAATAATCAAACATTCCAAAATAGAATGCAATAATTTTTTTATAAAATCCTGCTCGAAATGTAGAAATAATGTGCTAGTGACAGAACTTTGGGACCAACTACGTATATTATTATACCGCAGGAGGTTTTTTTATTTTTACGAGGGGGTTTTTGTTGTTTACTTCTTTAATTGTAACTCGTTCCTTTCCCTTCTCTAGACAGTTTTTTACTTTTCTCCTTTACTCTTGCGTTTTACAACCTATTACTATCTTCCCATCCTTCACCTTCCTTACTCTTTATAATTTCATTCCTTCCCTCTTCACCTGTAGTAACTTTCTCACATGTTCGAGCGTATTTTCTGCCGTGTCGGTTGTTTTGGTTGGCGTGTGGAGAGTTGGTTTCACCCAGTTTTTCTCTAATGTTGTTATTTGGTTATTTGGGGGAGCCGTTTTTCCAGCAACTGCCTCCGCATATGATTTGATTTTCAACTCGAGCTCTTCCACTATCCATATTTTCTGCGCAGCTAACTGTTCTATTCCGTTCCTTACCTCTTTAACTACTTCACATTCTTTTTCTTTCGTCATTTTTTGTAACTGCTTTCTTGTCTCTTCTAGTTTATCGTTTTCTATTTGCATTTTAGCTATCAATTCTTACAACTCGTCCACTTGTCTTTTATTCTTGGGCGAGCTTCTCGTTACCGTAAACGTTTTGTTCGATTCCTTCTCGTCTGTCGTCCTGTTTTCAGTTTCCGCCTCCGTCACTAGGGTAAAAAGTCTTTTCACCGCTGTGGTGACTGCTGTCTTTATCTCGCCTTTTAGTGTTCTAGCGGAACCTAACTGAAGAAGGGCACTCTGTTGGAGTGCTGCTGTTTCTATGGTTTTATTTTTGTATGGCTTTACTTTTTTCGTTTGGGACACTGTTTCCCACTTGTCTATACTCTTCCTTACCGTTGGAGACGTAGGTACGGATTGCGGCTGGGTGGGCCATAAGCTCTGCTCGGGCTGCTTTTCTTGAGAAGTTGTCTATGGCTGTTTGGTAGGAGTACTGATCCCTAACATGATAGTCGTCAAAAAAAAAAAAAAATGAATTTAAAATAACTTAATAAAAAAAATGAAAAATAATTTGTTGCAATGATATCTAAAACTAATGAGGCTAACCGGTAAAAAGGGTAATGCTCAGTCAATAAATACTTAGGCTGCCTACGCACTGGCGACCATAGACGCGGCCAGGCCGCCGCGGCCATGGTCGCCGGTGCGTAGGCAAGCGCGACATGTGGACGGCCGAAAAATTTGCAGTCGACTTCCAAGGATGTGTCAAGATGGACGTGCAGAAGATAATCACGCTAACTGTGCTTGTGTATTTACTACGAAAACGAAAACGGAAGATTTCACGTAAAAGACAGTTTTGGGTGCATCCATTACTTTGCGAGAGAAAGACTAAAGGATTATATTATACTTATTTTTTGGATTTAAAAATGTATGAGAAGAGATTCTTTAATTACATGAGAATGTCAACGAATACTTTTAACCTGTTACTGGATACAATAAAACCAAAAATTACTGGAACTGGTAACAACTATCGGAAATGCATTCCAGCAGAAGAAAAATTAGTAATAACAATAAGGTAAGCTTTTTCTTTTTTAAATACAGAATGTTTAAAAAATACGTGATATATTTTAAAGGATGTTTCGGAATGGAGTATTGTGTACAGGAAAAATAAAAATAATGTGATAGGGCCTTTTTTTTACTTAAACTGCTAAACGGATTTTTTTGTAAATTTGAATTATACAAGACTTGATTCTGAATCACCCTAAACCACCACTGTTGCGTTTTTCACAACAACCTGTATAATTCATTGACCAAGGTTTTGCCACTTTAAAAAATTTATGAACTATTGTTCAGTAGTATTCTACTTTACGACTTTGAAAAGGAGAGGAAAAGGGCTTGCTTATAACATGTTTTTAAATATTAAAAAACTGAAGTAGATAATCAAATTATTTGTATTTTCATAACTTAAAAAATGGCAATTGTGAACAATTAATCATTCAAATTGGGAAATAGGTCTATCATTTCTGAATTTTGAGAAATATCAGAATAATGAGTATGAGTATCGCTGTAATTTGAATCATCTGATATCCTGTTGGTAGTAGAATAACCTGAATAACTCGGTCGATTTGTAGGTGTACAGTTCGGTTGGTATTTTTCTATAATTTCCATGATTTCCATTTTCGCTTTGGTCTTCATTGCAGCAGGGATTGTTTGAAATCTTTCGAGGAGGGATAAAAGAAACAGTCTGTCACAATTTGAATCATTCTGTGTAGTCGCTATGGTCTTATGCAGAACTGAAATTAGAGGGTCTGTATCGGATTCTTCGTTTGGTATTTTTTTCTTCCTTTTTGTTCTAAGCGACTTTGATGCAGACTGTTGAGTCTCAAGATCAGAAGATCTTGCACTTTCATTTTCTTGACTTGCCTCTACGAGACTATTTTCTGTTGCGTTTGTGTCCATCACTGATTTCAAAAACAGTAATTGGTTGAAATAGGTGTATTGTGATTTACGTTTTGCAGCAGAACCACTTTTGACATCTTTAAGACGGCGCAGCTCTCTTGTGAAACAGTCTCTAAGGTTTTTCCATCTTTTTTGGAGAGTAATGCCTGTAAATCAATAAATAAATGTAGTACATATTACAAAACTAATATTATGTTTATTAATGTGAATTTTATTTTCAGGTATTTGGCTACTGGGTGTTCTTTATCTCATATAAGTCATGAATACCGTATAGGGCTTCCTACAGTATCGGAAATAGTATTTGATGTTTGTGAAGCAATATGGGAGATATTAAAACCAATTGTGATGCCACAATTGACCAGAGATAAGTGGATTCAAACGGCTGAAGGTTTTCAAAAATACGCCCAATTTCCTAATTGCATCGGAGCCATCGACGGCAAGCACATTAGAGTTATCAAACCACAACATTCGGGATCTCTTTATTACAATTACAAGAATTATTTTTCAATCGTGTTACTTGCAATATGTGATGTAAATTATAAATTTCTTTACTTAGATATTGGAGCATACGGCAAATGCAGTGATTCGTCAATTTACAAAGACTCTGTATTTTATCATAGGCTTTTAAATAATGATCTCGATATTCCGAGCAATAACCCCATCAAAGAAAATGGCCAATCAATGCCGTTCGTTTTAGTGGGTGATGAGGCGTTTTCACTATCGGAACATATGATGCGACCGTATGCTGGGAGAAACTTGAATAATGTAAAGACTAATTTTAATTATCGACTATCCCGTGCCCGCCGCTATATTGAATGTACATTTGGAATATTAGCCAATAAATGGCAGATTCTTCACCGACCCCTAAACGTCAAGAAAGAATTTGCAGTTGTGATTATAAAAGCTCTATGTGTGCTTCATAATTTTGTGCGAGAAAGAGACGGATATGATTTCAAGGACACGTTAACTGTACCAGAGGCTTTATTAGAAATACCTGCATGTTTACCTAATAGAGCAAATAGAACATCAACCGAATATCGAGATATATTCGCAAACTACTTCAGTACCGATGGTCGCTTGCCCTGGCACAATTTGTAAATATATGGGTGCTCGCCGCGAGCCGCCATTGCGCGCCGTAAACAAAATGGCGTCGAACGCACATGCGGTATGAGTAATCTTTTAAAAAGTTATTCCAATCATTACGAAAACCTGGGAAATTTTAGCAAATAATTGTCAAAACTCATGTGCAAAGCGAAAAATAGTAGAAATAAAATAGTTATACTTTTGACAATTACCTATTTGCTAAAATTTCTTAGATTTTGAATGAACGGAACAACTTTAAAAAAAAATCACTCATGTCACATATACGTGTCGAATGCTACTACAGCACCTGCTGCGTTTATTGTAGTTCATCGCATTATTAATTTACTTAGGCATAATAAAATAAAATACTAACCAAGTTCTGCCTTTTCTTTATCTTCCATGGATTCACCGCCAAATATATCGACCACTTCAAGCCACAACTGCCGCTTAACATCTTTATTGGAGTAATCATTTGATGCTAAATCCCATAAACCTCTTCTATTTTCAACTTCAATTATGAACCTTTCCGTGTCGAAATTGGCCATTGTAAAATAATCACTCTGTAGCTAGCTACACGTCTGGTCGCCGCGGCCGATGCGGTAGCACTGATGAATTTTAATACAGAAGTGATGTTCTCGACGGCCACGATTGGTCGCTGGTCGCGTGGCATCAAATTGGACGCCGCGGCCAACGGTGGCCGCTGGTCGCTGGCCGCTAAGTGCGTAGGGGCTATAGCGATTGCCATATAAAGTCCAGAATTCACTGGCCGCCGCGGCTAGGTCGCGGCGACCATGGTCGCCAGTGCGTAGGAGGCCTTAGACTTGTGGGGCTACCCAAAAAGGTAAGCCTCAGTCGTACTTATCAAAATACACTATATCGCAATCAAGGCTAAATCAGAACAATTGACTTATGTAGCTTAATAATAGCTTAATAATTATTATAGCTTAGTATATCACAATCAGTTAATCTTAATTACTAACTACAATTAAGTATGTCAAATTAATTCTAATATCGCACCCACCTTCGAGCTCGGGAGCGGCGAGTCAGGAACAATAAAATTGAACTTTTTAACCCCTAAGTGGACACCGAAATTGCGCCAGGACTCACCGTTCCCGAGCTATCCCGGTTTAGGTATTTAATCTTCCCGTAAGCTCTGCTCGGGCTGCATTTCTTGAGAAGTTATCAATGGCTATTTTGTAGGAGTTCTGATCCCTAACATGATAGGCCTTTGGTCGTCAAATAAAATAAAATAAAAAATGAATTTAAAATAACTAAATAAAAAAAATGAAAAATAATTTGTTGCAATGATATCTAAAACTAATGAGGCTAACCGGTAAAAAGGGTAAAGCTCAGTCAATAAATACTTACACTAGTGGGGCTACCCAAAAAGGTAAGCCTCGGTCAATAAATACTAAAGCTAGTGGGGCTACCCAACAAGGTAAACCTCAGTCGTACTTATCAAAATACACTATATCGCAGTCAAGGCTAAATCACAACAATTGACTTATGTAGCTTAATAATAGCTTAATAATTATTATAGCTTAGTATATCACAATCAGTTAATATTAATTACTAACTACAATTAAGTAATATGTCAAATTAAATCTAATATTGCACCCACCTTCGAGCTCGGGAGCGGCGAGTCAGGAACAATAAAATATAACTTTTTGGTTAAAAAGTTAAGTGTCCCTAAGTGGACACTGAAATTGCGACAGCACTCACCGTTCCCGAGCTATCACGGTTTAGGTATTAAATCTTCCCGTCGTCCTGGAGGAGTGGTCTGTGGTTTATCCAGAAAGTCCGAGGTATCCCTGAGATCGTCACGTCAGGGTCTTGCAAGTGTAGATTTATCCAGGGCTTCGTCCAACAGACTTAATAATGATTAAGTGACTTTTTGTCACGGCGCTGATGAGATGTCCGTGCCAATGTGGCACCTCTTTTCAATCGCCGCTCCCTGGTTTCTACTTCGATTTCTTTGATATGAGTCTTAATCAATTTATATCCCGTCGCGTTCCCGATCCTCCTTCCTTTTCCCGAAAATATTCGGGATAGCTCCCTGATGTCAGGAATTTTAGAACCAAGTGGGGTATCAAGCGGCGTTAAAAGTTCTTAAGCAATATATATAAAAATATATATGTCACCGCTTTAGTTTTCAAATAAATTTTAAAAAACAATTTTTGTGTCTGTTTTTTCACTTTTTCACTATCACCTTTTAATTTTTCACAACTATTTTTACACCACTGCGTAAATCTTTTTCTTGCATATTTAACGACATATAACACTCTGCGCAAACTTGAATAAAACCTATTTTTAGGAATTATTGAATACAGAGCACAATAGTTTCGTAATCTTATGTTCCCTACCCTCAAGCGAGTCCAAGCGAGTATTCAATGATGTGAAATGTATAGGAATTATGTTTTTTTCAACTAATTTCATCAGCCCCTGTTTCTTTTTCCTTGAAATTTTAATCCTCTCTGAATAGGCTGCAGGTAAATTAAGTGTCATCAAGTCATTTTGAGTGCTTCGAGTGGACCCTGATGCTTTTTTTTGCTTATAGGCGGTTTTAGAGTAAGAAGTTTTGTAAAAAAAAAAATCCAGGATCTGATTTAGACACATAAATTACACTAATATCATTCATTTTTACGGTTTCATTTTGAATATTTTTGGAAAAGTTTTTTCCAATCTTTGGTGATACTTCTTTAAAATCGTAAAAGCTATCGTAAGTCAATTCATTAACTGCAAATGGCTTTCCGTTAGATTTGGCAGTTCTAATTAAAGTAAAATACTGAGCAGGTGAATATATCGCACTTGAACGAAGGGACTTTTTAATTTTTCTTTCAACCAGAGAATGGCAATTGTCACCCTCATTTTGGGTATGTCCCTTAACACCCTCAGCGCCATGTGTATCTTTTTGTCACACAGTGTCCGGAACACAGTGTCCGGAGTCCATAGGTGGTTTCTAGATCCAGCAAAAGAATCGGAAGATAAGAGACACTGTGTTGCGTATAAGTTGGTTTGTTCTGTGATATGTTCTAGAATGTTAGGGGTTAGAAACATGTCATAGTAGTCTATTGGATTCGCATTTGCTAATAACCCGACATAAATATCCTTCATACCAGAACTTGGTACAGTGTAATCTATGGCGGGAGGGTCATCATGACTTGGCATTTCCCATTGCATGTTGGACAGTTTTTCTTCCATCCACCGTCCGTCCATCCATCCATCCATCCGAAAATGTTGATAAACGCCTTGAAAACCTAGGAGGGTTCCAAATTTGACTGTCATTGTCGTCACTTGTACTTGTGTCACTAAAGTCTTCATCAGGCATAAAATTGGGATCCTGAACGGAATCATCACTTGAAAACTCCATAGTATATCACTTATTTGAACGTTTCAACACTTATACTGTAACAATAGATAAAAAATATAAGGGTGCGTACAGACTATGTAACATATTATATAACTTGTGTTTTATAACACGTCCACATTATGTAACCTTGTTATTTAACATTATAACATAAAACAATACTGTACACATTAGAATAACAATGCAATATAACAATGTTATATATTTATTTATTATTTATTAACACTTCGTTGCATATACATTAATATAGTACAATTGACATAATTAAATAAAAAGGAGAGTAACTGGCGGCCTTATCGCTTTCGAGCGATCTCTTCCAGGCAACCACTGTGAGAAAAGAAAAAAAAGTATTAAATTACATAAGCAAGAAGTGCAAAAATAGGTACATGTATTAAATATAGTTGTTCAGAAAAAGAAACTAAACAGGAACAAAGAACAAACTAAACTAATAAAGGATACCATTGTCGTTTGTCGTTCTCCAGTGCTATCCACAATGTCGACAGGAGAGGACGTCTTGCTGGCTGCGGCAGAGACTGTTGTAATTTTAAATAACAAAAGAAGAACAAAAAAAAACGTAGATGCTGCGGTTCGTCCTAGTATACATATCAATAACATGTTATAAAACATTCAGTGTTCACATTATCTGAAACATGTTGTATAGCAATGTTGTATAACATGTTATAAAAATAAAAATAAAAAAAATAAAATATGTTTACTATGGAACATAAGATACATGTATCACTTATTCCACGTCATTAAATTTGAAGGCATCCCTACTCATCGGCAAAGAAGACAGAGGGTGTAGGCCGAGAGAAAAAGCCGGCGTAAAAAACTCTCGGTACTCTTTTAAAACAGCAAATCATCAAACAATATATAGTACAATATATAATATGTTATATAGTCTGTACGCACCTTAAGAAAAAACAAGAATCAGAATTCATGTCTTTTCTTATATTTTCTTCCAAACGCGTTCTTGAGTCCTGAAACAAAAAAAAAGGTTTTTGTCTGTGTATCTTTTGGGAGGTATGAATTTCAAATGAACTATTTCCCAGGCCACGTGAATCTAAATGTCACACGGATAAAAATCCAAGAAAAAGGGGGGAAACGGGGAGGGGTGAACACTTAGGGTCTGGCGCTGATGGTGTTAATTAGGAATTTGTGGGTAATGGAACTAATATTTCGAAATTTACATACTGCTAAGATGTACATTGAAATCATAATATAACGGTTTTTCTGCTGCCCGCAGCAATTGTCAAAACAGCAGAACAGTATAATTAAAATTTAAAGTCCTCTAAATTAGTCCATTATAAGTAATATTTTCGTACCGCTACGGCAGTGAAACACTAAATATTATACATTTACCGAAATGCACTTTTACACTTCACTTTTTCCACTACGCGACTCTCACGTCCGCCTTAGGCTGCCAGTCCACCAGAGCGGAGCGAGGCAGCGGAGCCGAGAAACGGACTAATGCGGAGTGGAGTTGCGTACTGTGACTGTCCACCGGAGCGGAGCGAGGCTGCGGAGCGGAGTGAGGAAGTAATGCGGAGCGGAGTTGCTGTGTTTTTCAATATGCGGAGCTAGGCAGCAAGTACGCGACGAGTGATTTCGAGCTCCCGGCGTGGGGCGATTGGTTTAATTCTACGCGAAATGTCAGTGATAGCAGACATGCCATCGAAAAAGTTGATACATTATTACCTTACATTGCTTGAGGAAGAAGAGTTGGAGTCAGAAGAAGCCGAAATACTTACCATATACCATTTGAACAATTCTATGAGGAAACATAGATTTTGGTTAAGAAATCATATCAAACATCGTTCAGAACACAGTGAATATTTTACTTTTTTCCAAACAGCTGATGAAGAAACTTTCGAAAATTCTTATAGAGTTTCAAGATGTACTTTTTATGAACTTCACTCCCTGATTGAACCATATATTCGGAAACAAGACACAAATTACAGAAATTCAATTAGTAGCCGTGAAAGATTAGCGGTGTGTTTAAAGTAAGTACACATTTTAAATCAAAGTAACTTTTATTTTTGCATACAGTTATAGAAGCCATGTTATATTAATTTAAAAATCGTAATCTGTCTCAAAATTGACCGCATTTTCATTGGGTTCTGTTGGCTCTGCTGCAGATGTTTCAATATCCTGGGTTGTTGGAATTTGTAAAGCGCTAGGATTAATGATACTAGTGTTAATATTATCTGAAGCACTAGGAATATTGACACTAGTGTTGGTATTATCTGAAGCACTAGGAATATTAAGACTAGTGTTGATATTATCTGAAGCACTAGGAATATTGATACTAGTGTTGATATTATCTGAAGCACTAGGAGTATCGATACTAGTGTTGATGTTATCTGATGTAGGTGTTGAGCCTGTAGAATAACCATAATTATTCGGTGAATACCAACTATGTTGAAGATTACTTTCTTCAGCTGACATTACCGCATTAAAGCAGGTTTTTTAATTTGAAGTTGAAAATAATACGGCAGCTTTTTTGTCGATGCAGCCAAATTTAAAAAAAATAAGTCTATTTCATCGTATTTATCACTGGCTGACATCATGTTTTTAAGTTCTATCCGTTCTCGTTCCAACACTTCGCGGCGTTCTTGATTTTTTTTAAATAATCTAGAATTTCATCGTTCTTTCTTTTTTGGATGTTGATGGAAGAGATTCCGAAGCTGTTGGATTCTTAGGATCATCGGCAGAAGGAAGATTATTTGAATTTGATGGCAAAAAATTGCATGATTCCCGTGAACTCTCTTCAATGGTATTTGGCGGATTTGAAGTTTCGCTTACTGAGTGGTCCAGGGGCGTAAAATTTGTTGACCGGTCTCTGTTACTCATGTAAGGCAATAAAAATGACATGGCTTTTTGATATTTCCATTCTTTTCGTTGTTTTCTAGCCTGTCCACTCCTTGTTGCATTTTGTCTTTTTAAGGCATCCCGATGGTTATCTCTCAGTTGTTTCCATCGCGACTTGGCAGTTGTAACTGAAACAATCAACAAACACAAAAATGTATTACATGGTCTATTTATGACAAAAATATTACATCACTTACGCGAAGTACAATTAAATACGTTTTTTTTAGGTATTTAGCAACCGGCCAGTCATTTACAACGATGGGAGAGAATTTTAGAATTGGATTGAAAAGTGTATCAAGAATTGTTGAGGAGGTTTGTGATGCTTTATGGAATATATTGCAACCTCTTGTCATGTCACAACCAACAGAAAACGACTGGAAAGAAATCGCAAAAGATTTTGATGAACTATGGCAATTTAAAAATTGTATAGGTGCTCTTGATGGCAAGCACGTATATATCAAGGCTCCCTCGAAAACCGGGTCCTCGTTTTTCAACTACAAAAAGAGATTTTCTGTAGTATTGATGTGTTTAGCTGATGCCAAAAGGAAAATCATAATGGCTGATGTGGGATCTATGGGAAGATTTTCTGATGCAGGAATTTTTGATAACAGCATTTTCGGAAAGAGTCTAAAAGAAAAGAGATTGAATTTACCTCAGCCGGTACCATTTTATCAAGGTGGAGCAAAAATGCCGTTCGTATTTATAGGAGACGAAGCTTTTCCATTAATGGAAAATTTTATGAGGCCTTACCCACGTGATGGACTTAACGCAGAAAAAAAAATTTTTAATTACCGATTATCAAGAGCACGTCGTATTGTTGAGGCAACTTTCGGTGTATTGACGAGAAAGTGGTACGTGTATCATAAAGATTTTGAATGCAAAATAGAAACAGTTGACAAGGTAATAAAAGCAACATGTGTTTTGCACAATTATTTAATTCAAAGACAACCTAATTATATAAACAATATTGAAAATAACATGGAGCAATCATTATTATCAGTTGGTGATATTATAGAAACACAACATTCTAGTAACGATGGTTATCAAGTTCGTGAAATGTATTGTTCATACTTTAATAATCAGGGGAAGGTACCATGGCAAGATACTCGAATTTTGAAAAGAATCTATAATAGTCAGTGATGTGAGACAGATATAGATAATTTGGCCAGCTGCGGACATTATTTAACTATTTAGGCTATTACATTATATAGGCTATTTTGTTAAATAAAAAAAAAGATATCAATATGTACCTACTAGAAGGTATTATAGAATAAAGATACATATTATTTACCATCCGATATGTTTGTTTCAATGATAATTTGGTCCCACGCAGCATCTTTTGTTTCGTTGCATTTGTAAAATTCTGAAGATGTGTTCCAAATGCACGGAAACTTTTTCACACTTTCAATAAGTTTTTCATCCATTATCTTCGGTCACATACGCACTGGTCGGAATACGGCGGCACACTGCCGGCGCAAAGTGCGCCCGCGCCCGCACTCGCTTCCCCGCTCCGCATCCCCGCTCCGTTTCCCCGCTCCGCATACCGGTTTTATATGAAATTTTAAACTAGCTCGCAAGTCCCTGTCCACTTAAGAGGAGCGGAGATTTTGTGCAATCCTATTGGTTAATATTTCTCCGTTTCTCGGCTCCGCTGCCTCGCTCCGCTCTGGTGGACTGGCAGCCTTATCCTCCTTGATACGCGAACCATGGGTTTCGTGACGTCGCCGCACCCAACTATTCGATCTCTGGGGAGTATATCACCCCCAATATATAGGTGATGGCAGGTATGCTGATGCATCTGCTCATGATTACAGTCTCTTCTTTCGACTGCTGCTTACCCATTTTTTGTCACAAATAATTAGTCTTCATAAACTCGATGAAGCGTCTATCGCGATTATTAATACTCAGTAATATTAATGAACACAAAGTTTCATGTTGTCTCATGTTAGATGAAAAGTTATTGCTATGTTTTTTATTGATTGTGTGATGAATCAAATGCTTATCGAATGGCATTAGTTAATTACTGTAAACAGTTCACATAAAGTGTTAAATCCTTACTTTTCTATTTCACTGTTGTAAATAAAAATAAAATAAAATATGTTTATTATGGAACATAAGATACATGCATCACTTATTCCACGTCATTAAATTTGAATTTGTAGGCATCTCTACTCATCGGCAAAGAAGACAGAGGGTGTAGGCCGAGAGAAAAAGCCGGCGTAAAACTATTGAACCAATAAAATAAAAATAAAAATCTATTTACTCCGTTCTTACTGATTGATTCTGAAATAATGCAGTGTAATCCTATCATATAAAATGAAATAAAAATAAAAAAGCGTTTTATTTCCAGTATTTAAAGTTTACACTTCTTACAATTTATTTTAGTGTTAGTTCATGTAGTTAAATCTATGTTAGTATAATTTTTGTTGAACGGGATATGCCCCGCGCCACCATATTTGTTTGTTAATTCGTTTGTTGTCAAATGTAAAATGATTGTTTTGATGAATGTTAATTTATGTAAGGTTGAAAGTTACTCACAGCTTTAGAATTAGTTATATGAAATTGTTGGGAAGTAAAATTAATATGTACAGTACGCTGAGGTTCACAATCTTTCGACAGTTTATAATCTCGCGAGATAGATTACAATCTAACGGTGTTTACAATTTTACGTTAACATATCCATAAAACGGTAAATAAAACAACGAAGTGTATGAAAATCAGCATGCAATTTTATTATACACTGTTACAGTGTCATCAGCTATGTTATGAACAAAAACAGTCTTCCATGTTTGTGGTCGTTTGAGACTCATAGATCAAAGCAAAAAAAACACAATCTTAAAGCAAAAAATAAACAAATATTCAAAAGTAGTAGTAAAACGAGGCACAAACTTTAACTTCCTACTTACTTATTACTTATTTTATGTGGTAGGTACTTGGCTAACACTCGTGAGACTGCGATTATTTATGTTCAAAGTACTGTAAGAGCATACCCACTACTAACTTTAACCAGTCTTTTTAGTTTTACAAGTCTTATTTAAATCACATCAGTGTAACATCACAGGTTTACTTACATAATTATCTATTGACTGCCTTAAACTAACTATAAAAAATGAAATAATAACAGGGTACTTAGATATCAAAATTACGTTTCCTGTAAGTGCTGTGCTACTCTTGCTGTCTTTGTCTAAGAGTTGACATAATTTAGTTTTTCATTTTAACTTACATTTATCGCCACAAGATGGACGGATTCAACGTTCTGCGATCTGTTTTGTGGGGTTTGATAAAGAAACATAAGATTTATCTGTATTGCGCAATGTTTTAGCAATTGATTTCCAGGTTTTCCAGGGTTTCGTACTCTTTTTCTTCTTAACTTGGGGTCAGTTGGAGCTGGTTCAATGACCGCAGACGTTGAGGGTTCTTGAGTCAGGATCGAATTGGAAACAACTTGGGTATCTGGAGCAGATGGACCTGGTCTACTGGATTCATTATCAGATGAGCTGTTCGAGCTGCTAGAGCTTGATGACGATGAGCTGGAGTCTGTAGAGGTACTTGAGCAGGACGACGAAGATACTCGTCTAGGTATTACAAGTGGCCGGGATTTTTGTCTTTTTCGGATAGAAAAAGTAGGATCCGTATCCGAATCATCTATAAAATCACTTTTTTTACTCTTATCAGGGGTTAAGACCTTTTTGAAGCTACAATTGGTGATACCTCCAGAGCTGATGCTACAACAGGTGATACCGTCATAGCTAATGATGTAACTGGTGATACCACGAGTGATTATGGTGATTTATTATATCCTCCATATAAAAATGAATCCCTATTTCCCTGGTCTCGCCTTACCTGAGAAGGACTTTACATATTTTATTAAATAAAAAACAAAATATATTTTTTCATAATAGTGTTTATTTCATATTGTTCAATAATTTCACTTACATACAAATCGCTATTGAACAACTTGGCATTTTGAAGTAAACACTGAGCTTAATACCACGCGCGCTCTAGAAAGCAACTAATACCCTTCACTGCTTCTCTCTATTCTAATGCTTTTTGATAAACTATATTTTAGTTTTATGTTCTGGTGCGTAAATAAATAATGTTGATGGTTTTCCGACACGGGAACAGGCGACATATAATTGGCCATGTGAAAAACATGGATTTTCTAGGTTGATGCCACATACACTTAACGACTGCCCTTGCGATTTATTTATTGACATTGCAAATGCAAGCCGCACTGGAAACTGTAAACGTTTAAAATTGAATGTCGTTCGGTATCATAGGGAGGCGTGGGATTAAAAGATCTTCGCCTTTGTACTTCCCTTTCAAAATTGTGGCTTCGATGACGTTGTTCAATAATTTCTTCACCGCAAGCCGGGTGCCATTACACAGACGTGGCTGGTTTATGTTCCGTATCATAATAATTACTGATCCGATTTTTAATTGCAGATTATGAGGTGGTAAGCTGGGCAATTCCAGCGAATTTAAAAATTCTGTTGGATAATTGACAACTTCATCTTCATTTATTATTTATTTCGAAAAGAAGTCTGTAATCTTTTTTTGAGTGAGTGACTCATTTATGTAAACAATTGACAAGTCTGTGCATGTATGTAAACAAACGACAGGTATGTGCATGATAAACGCTTCAAATTATAGAGAGTAGGGAAGACCGGATTTCAAATTATCGCATGTTGGTGAGCAAGATAATACTTTTTCAACTTCAAATTACCGAAGGGACCGATTATCATTGATTTTATTCAATTTATCGAGTATTTTTCAAAGGACCGGAAATCGAATTTTACAGAAATATTGGCATTTACCTAATTTATCTAGAATGTCTGTAATATTTGGAATCGGATACTTGTCGACAATCGTTTTATCATTTAACTTCCGAAAGTCAATGACTAATCGCCACTTAACTTTATTATAAAGTAAGTATTAATACAGTGTTTGATTTTATTAGTAAATGTCAAAGGTTCGTGTTCAAGATGAAAAATGTCTGAATACTGTCTACAAATATTTTTTATATTAGCTGTCCCCTCTGCGTTTAAATGATCTATGCGCAAACGCGATAAGACGTCGCGAGCTCGGGCATTGTTATTGAAAGTATCATATGACACTTGTTCATTAAATATATGAGCTATAATGGGTTCCGTTAAAGAAATTATAATATCACTGTCGGTGGGATTAGAGATTTCTAAAATTGCGTGATGATTATTTGCCGTGGTTATGCATTCGTTTATGTAACATTTCCCGACTTTTTGATCTTGAATACATATATCACCGTTGGATATAGAAGTAGGCACACGTATTAATTTCGAAGAATTAGCTGGAATTATAGCTTCACATAAATTCACACTATCGTACATGTACATATAAAGGGGGTTAGATGCAAACTTCGTAATTAATTTTCTAGATTCTAAATCAATTTTCCCCGACCATTTTTGAAGAAGATCACAACCAATTAGTCCATCGAAATAATTATGGAATTTATACACGAATAATTTTATCCATGCATTGTCTTTGAATTCTTTGAAACACGGTATATATATTGTATAATCATTCTTGGTAGTAGCATGCACGTTTGAAACAATAAATGGTTCGAAGTTTAAAGGAAAATTTGGAAAGTAAGTATCTATAGCTTCGGGTCTTATAAAAGATTGATTCGCACCTGTATCAATTAGAAATTTTAATGGTGGGAGATCTGGGTGAACTAGAACTTGAATAAATGGTAATTGTCTTTGATTTTGTATATTTAACTCTATTCGGGGAAAACTATCTTTCGATCCTTTGGAAAATCCTGTTTGGAAGGTTCTGGCACGTTGTTTTCAGAATTTATGGTTTCCGATTGTTCAGTAAACTCCGTTACAAGTCGTCGGAAATATCTGCGAACCTGGCTTAATGACGTCATACAAACTGGAGAGAAAGCAAAAAAATTGAAGATGTAAAAATAAAAAATATTTTATTTGTGTACTTATTTTTATTGATACTCGTACCTACTTGAAATTTACAAATACTTATTATTTACATTATTTAAAATTCAAATTATTTACAAATTTACAAATAATACAAAGAAAAAGTAGAGAGGAAGAGAAAGTGGCGAAACTATTCTAGAAAAGCCTCGACACCAGACATGGTAGCGCTGTCGTTTTCGTCATCTTCTATATTATCACTCAAAATGTTGTCTTCGGTTTCGCTGTCACTGTCTTCTCCTCCTAATGAAATTATTAATTCGCATTCTTCATGTTCATATAATCTGTCATTATGCCAAAACTTATCTCTTAAGCGATCAACATGGTTGCATTCTTTTTCCAATCTTCCGGGGTTATACTTTGGATCGCTGCCTTTGTTAACCTTTCTATATCTTTTTCTGATTGGTCAATATTTTTGTCTGCCACCCTTTGTTTCATCAAATTCCAAACATACTCAATAGGGTTGAGATCACAGTGGTAGGGTGGCAGACGTAATACCTCATGTCCATGAGCTCTAAATATTTCATCGATGAAATATACCTTCTCAGGTTTATTTCTTTGAATCAACATATACAGTTCTCTTTTAGTCATTTTGTCATCAAATTTGATGTTGTGTTCTTGCAGCCATGTTTGCATTTCGTTTTTACGTGCACTGAAATTTGGCGGCTTATTTGCCTGCTTACTGTGATAGGGCGCGTTGTCCATGACAATTATTCCGTTGGGTGGAAGGTTCGGTATCAATTTCTCTTTAATCCATTTGGTAAAATTGGACGCATCCATTTCGTCATGGTAATCACCGGTTGTTGATTTACACTTATATAGGAGCTCGGCTCCTTGTATGAAACCGTTCTCATTACCTGCGTGTACCACAATCCAGCGCTGACCAGGAGAGTGATTTATTCGGACACTGGAATCACTACTATTTTGCCAACATTTTGAGAGAGTATAGTGTGAATGTATCCAGGTTTCGTCGATAAATGTAACTGGTTTTTTTTCGGCACCACGTTCGTCATTTTCTTTCAGTCGCCTTAAATATTTTGCTCTCCAGGCTGCTATTTCAGGTCTTTGCACCAAAAAATCGCGTTTTCGTTTAAATTTTTTAAAGCTGTACCCCAAATCATTTATTAGTATGTTTCTTAGGGCGTCTTTTTGGCCGGGAAAGTTGAGCTCCCGTTTTGCTATTGTAAGAATCTTTTTTAAAGTAGGTATTTCTTTTCTTGTGGTATAAGAGAGAGCCTGTGTCGAGCCTGGTGTCGAGAGCTTGATAGTGTCCGTGGCAACTGAAGCTGAAGTACTAGGTTGTGGATGCTCACCATCTTCGAAGGACGTCATGTCTTCCTGAACATTCGCTGCTCGCGCTGTTTCTGTTTGTATTTTTTTTGCTTCACGTTTTATTGTCATTATTGTCGTTTTAGATAAACCAGTTGCAGCACAAGCCCTTTTTGTTGCTTGTTCAACCGGCACAGTGAAAGAGCCGTGTTTTTTTTCATTTTCAAAGAATTGGATTACTTTGAGCACTAAATTCCGCTCTGCACTATGTATAGTCCTACCCATCTTACATACAGCACTAAATAGGTAGTTTATGTAATATTTCACCAAACAGAGAAACAATAAACACTAAAATGCGATTACGAAAGCAAGAATAATACACGTGCGTCGGCGATTGCGTTGGCAACGGTACTGGATAGGCGAAAACGGGGCGGGGTGCGGGGAAGCGCCAGGGGAAGCGCATTCCAGCGAGGTTCGCAGATATTTCCGACGGCTTGTATATTATATTCGTCGGCTGTTGAACAGTCATATGGTAAGTAGTTAGGGTCATATTGTTGAAAGTCACATGGATATTCGTCATTGTCATAGTCATAGTCGCTATAGAGATAAGGGTCATTTAATTCGTTATTATTAATCTGTCGAGTTTTAAAGTAATTGTTAGGGGGTGGATTACCATGAATCCTCCAGTCATGTCCAGTCTGAGTAGGTGGTAAAACTCGAGCAACAGGGTGACTAATACCACTCATGGGTTGAGGGTTATTTTTCATAGGCATTGGTTGACGGGGTGGAATTCTAAATCCTGTAGACATATTCGACCTTGGCAAAGCTTTAAACATTTGTTGGATCCTTGAAGGACCTTGCTGATGGTACATATGAGGCTTATATGAATTGTTATTAAAATGTTGACCATTATTTAATCTTGGCAAGTTAAAAGGTTTTTGATACTGTGGATTAATATCGTATCTATAAGGTTTTAGAGTAGGCGAGCTGGATATTTGAGGTGTAAAATTTTGTCTCTTCGTATTTTTGTTTTGCAAGTAAATTATGTTCATCTCGTCTTTTGCATATTGCAACGCCACTTCTAATGTTTCTGGTCTCATACATCGTATGCGTGAGCCCAGAGGTTCCTCCAAACCTTTTAGATACGTTTTTAACGCGAGGCTATTGTATAAATTACGTTTAGCCTGAATAGTTGTGTCTATTTTATCATGAATTTCTACATATGTAATGATTGTACTCAATAAATTTTGTATACGCTCATAAAATATATGTGGGCTATCTGATCCTTGAGTTAATTGCGACAAATCAGTATAAAGAGTAGACTCATCTCTGTGATCTGAGAAGCTATTAATTAGAGTGCTTCTTATGCCACTCCAATTTTGAGGGGCCCCATTTGTTGATAGGGCTCTGGCGGCAGCGCCAGTTATTTTATTAATTATTCCATTAATTAATGCTAAATTCGTAACATCATTACCCGGACTTGGCTTGGCATAAGTGACTACTAAAGTGTCACACAAATTCAAAAATCTAGTTAAATTACACGCACTTCCGTCGAAGTTAGGTACAAATTTTAAAGCTCTTAAAATCCTATCTAAAAATGCATCTTGTGCAATTGAAAAATTCTCAAGGGAAGCTTCGCGCTCCATTTTATCTTCTAAAATATCTTTTAAATAATCTAAATGTCTATTGCGATCTCTCAGCTCGATGCTAGAGGCAACTCTTGGGGCTTCGATTCCCCGGTTTTTCCTAGGATGGAAAATTTTGGATGATTTGGGAACACACAGGAATGTAACAACCAATCGTTAAGAAATGTGTAACTTACATATGCATTTCGACGATGGTGGCACCTTTTGTCATCGATTTCTGGATGCGCCGTGTGTGGTCCGCTGTCCTCGGTTCTTGTGAATCGTCGATTAAAACTTGGAAGTCTATTAGTTCGCGTACTCTACGTAGGCGATCTACGGAGTATATTACTTAGTACGCGCACTGACTCGACGATCCTACCGACTGCGCCAATTAAGTGAGGGCCAGCGGTGGATTCCAAAAAAAAACAAAATATATTAAAATTACTTTAATTAATTACTTTTACAAATAATGAACTTAACTTAATACAATTATTTAATCGGCCCGATATTAGGTGCACGAAAAATATATTATATTATAAACTTAACTAGTTGAGACTTGACCGGTCCGATATGAGGTATCCGATCAAAAAGCTGTTGGTTCTGTTGTCCGTTTCCTTATATAGCGTAGTTTCGTAAGAGGGGACTTGTATTGGGTATGCGGGGCAAAGGGAGTGCAATGAATATGTAACAAGTCTGTGCATGTATGTAAACAAACGACAGGTTTTTGCATGATAAACGCTTCAAATTATAGAGAGTAGGTAAGACCGGATTTCAAATTATCGCATGTTGGCGAGCAAGATAATACTTTTTCAACTTCAAATTACCGAAGGGACCGATTATCATTGATTTTATTCAATTTATCGAGTATTTTTCAAAGGACCGGAAATCGAATTTTCGAATTATCGAGAGATTCAAATTAACGAGTGTCAAATTATCGAGAGTCGGCTGTATCATATTTTTTGTTATAACCTCATGTCATAGTGGGTCTTCATTATTATCGGGATATTCTGCTGATATCACATTATCAATTTCATTCGGTCTTATCCTCTCAACCAACCAAATGAGGATATGTGCATGTGGCAATCCGCGTTTTTGCCACTCAACTGAGTACATCCAACAGCGCGTCTTGCCTAACACGCGATGCTTAACAATAAAATCCATGAGTGATTTTAATTTCATTTTGAACACCCTTGCAGTGATATCGTGGCGATCAATAGGTGATTGGCTATTAAATAATTCTTTTTGAATTTCTGTCCACTTTGAATTGCATGTGAACGTGATAAACAAATCTGGTGTCGTACATAGGACATAGCATCTTGAGCATATTCATGCATATGTCGCGGACTTCCGATATATGTTGCTGGGAGAATAGTTTTTCTGCCAACATTCTGTGCATTTCCATCAGCATTAATGGCATCCCGAATATGAATGTATTCCTCGGAACGGAGTTTTGCCTGGTTCAACCTGATAAATGTCAATCGTTCAGTTTCAACTTTCACATACATATCCACAGCATATTGGTGAAATAGACGCCGACACTTTAAGATGTGATTGTCCTCATTTTCCCGAACCATCAGTCTGTATGAATAATAATTCATTGAACTAACTTTTTTGTTCGTTTCAGCACCTGTAAAGAATTTTTGTGTTAATAATATAAATTTTAAGTTAGTAAACATATAATAATAATAATAATATAAGCCTTTATTCAGACAAGATACAATTTTACTTAAGCTAGAATATAAATGTTTAGTATTGAAAAAATTAACTTAAATATAGTTGAATATTTACATTCCCTCGACAACGTTGTCTGTTTGCCTTTTGTTGGCAAAGGCCTCCTCCAAATGCAACCATAAATTATTGACCTGGGGAGTTCGGGTCCATGTGCCACCTGCCACGGCTCTTATTTCACCAATCCACCTTAGGAATGGTCTACCCCTTTTGCTCTTCATGTGACCTGTGTACCAATGCATTAATGATTTGCTTCCATTCTAGCCCACTTTCATTTTAGTTTTTTAATTGTTATAGTCTTTTGTTTTTGTGTGATTTTTTATTGTTGATAATATGTTTATTCTGTCAGAAAGCTTTTTTCCCCATCATGCTTCTATTCATTGCCAAGTGGTCAATAACTACTAATAACTATTAGTGTGGTAATAGCTAGTTATAATAGTAAATATAACTACTATTAATTTTAGATCAATGTTGGAGGGTTTTGGTCTAACTCCCCACGGGGACCAGCCGGGTTGGGGAGATAATTGTTTTCGAAGAGTGTGTTATTGTCAGTTAGTTCCTTTTGTTTTCCAGTTGGTGTATTGTATTAGTGTTGTGTATTGTTGATTTCTTCAGTGCTTCTGGCTTGCTATTCTCTAGGGCGAAACGGCTGGTCTATTTTGTTTATTTTTTTGGGTGCTCTTATAGTTTCTACCAAACTTTGATTGTCAGTGGCTGATGGTGATGGTGATTCAGTTGGGGACCGTTTTCTCTTTGTTTCTAAAGGTGCTTTTTCCTTAACAATGAGTTTGTTATACCGAATAAAAGCAATTTTTCCGTTTTTTTCTTCTTGTTCTTTCCGTTGTCTCAGTTCCTTTCTTATTTGGATAATTTCCTTCGGGTAATCTTCGGTTGCATGTATATTTGTCGGGAAATTTTTATTGTTTTTTAGAAGTTCATATTTCCGCCAATTTAAAGCAAGGGTGATAAGTATCGGTCTCTTTTTGTCATTCATTTTCTTGCCTATCCTTCTCATGTTGCTGATCTCCCATTGATCCCACTCCCGCATCCCATCAGATCTTAAAGTGGTTTCATTCAGCACTTCTAACACATTTTTCCAGAGCTCACTTGTACTATGTTCATTTTCTGCCATCCCGTGTAATATTATGTTATCTTTTCTCATTTCTCTCTCAAGATTTTGTATACGTGCATGGGAAGCTTGGAGATCTTGTTTCAGCTTTTTGTTATCCTCAACAAGTGGGCTTAATTTTTTGTCTATTGTTTGCAAAAGACTTTTGTTAAAATTTTCAGCTAGTTGTGTCATGTTTCTTCTGGGGTATTTAAAATTTCAAGCTGGCAACACTTTTTTGTTGTTGTTGAGCTGTCAGTTTGCGAAATAATGATGTATCACTTTTTATGTTTACAAAACTTAATGTTTGCAAAACTTGTACTAAATCGCTGTTTACACAAGAGGTAATGTTCACTATTATAACTTATAATGTTGAATATCGAATGACACACTTTTTAGTACAGATCACCCACTTTTTCACTAGATTTCAATTTTACAACTGAGAGTGTTTTTACGACGTGTTAACTGTTTGACAACCGGAACCGGAATTCCCGGAAAGCTTGAAATACAACATGTTATAAAATGTTACTGATTAAGTCATTAGGTTATTGACTATTATTCTGTATTTGACTTATTGTTTACAAATTAAACACATCTACACAACACTGGCTCAACATATTTTGCACCAGCTACATGGTTGTACAACTAAATGAAATTGTTTGCCATTATACTTACTTACCTTGAAAGTAGGCATAAAATTGTCTCGAATAACTTTTGTTGCGCCAAATGATGTCATTTGAAAGCAATTATTGTATTTATGGATATGAGTCAAAAAATGATTACAATCTGGCCTATTTCCGTAAACCAATGAATGTAGTGGCTCTGGTGGTGGTACCAATGGCGTTAATTTGACTTGACCGCTGGCGCAACACAATCCATGGGCTTCATTTTTTAATTTCAATGCATTGCAATGTGGACACACAATATTCATTAGTCCAATAGCAACAATTCGCTCTGAACAGTAATCAATTGCCATATTATAACTGAATGCAGCTATGTGGGGATTAAACACAACATTTCTATGTTGATTTCGATTTCGTTTAAGTTCATTTCGCTTCGCGTTGCTCATCAGTTTGATTTGCTCTTATATTTCTTTGACTTGCCATATTTCGAGTTCTGCGGCCTAAGTTTGTACGTCTGGTTGGTGGCATTGTTAAAAACGATAATCCAACTGAAAATAAAATGATTTCATATATTTTCTGTATAACCATCTATACCAAATTGTAAAATTGTGTAGTCACGAAAAGTTACCAAAAATCGATATGAAGTGAATTGAACTTTCCGTGATTAACAAACACTTATTAGCAAACAAAAAACTTCTTCGTATTTAAAACAAAACGAAATTTATCAAAAATTTAATAAAATTATTGTAATATATATGTGTTGTCACAGATTACCACAGAATTTTTTGTTTTAAATTGAATGACGTTGACATTTGTTAGCGCGGTTACGGATGTGGTGTCACAGATTATCACAGTTTTATTTTTAATTCAATGACGTTGACATTCGTTATGCGCGTTTTTTAAAATATGCAAAATTAAATGTATATTTTTCAATCTTTCTGAGAGATTTTCTTAATATTTTTTTCCGTAAGAACCTTGTACAGAGTATAAGAAAACTACAAAAAAAAATTAAACAAATCGGTCAAGCCGTTTTCATGTTATGTCGTGACAACGGAAAACGGGTTTCATTTTTATATATATAGAAGATAGAAGACTATAATATAGCCTTTTATTCCTGAACGTAGGGTTACAAGAGATCCCTAAGTTCGGTGTGCATTTTGGCATAAGCCTCCATCCAATTCCTTCCAGTGGTTTACTTTAGGGTGTTTCGAATTATAATGTTCTGATTTAAATGGAGGGTGTTTGTCTTCTTCCCCCACGGTGACAAGCCGGCTTGGGGTGCAGTTTATGAGTGTTGTGTTTGGTAATGCGGTTGTTGGGGTGGTTTGAATCCGGGTGTCGCATATTAGTTTTTTGAGAGATTTGGTAATAAAGTTGATCTCCCGCGCTCTACGTAGTTCAGTATATTTGGTCTGATTATTTCCTTTGTCGCAGTTTTAGAGGGGGCTTTGTTCACGGTGGTCAATGTACTTACGGTGTCACCTGCATTGACTTTCTTTTGAGATGATATTTTTGGTGATCCTGAATCTCTTTTCCTCTTTTCTCTTTTGCTGTCATGTGTTTTCTTTATTATCAGTTTATCGTATTTTATGAACGCTATATTCCCTTTTTTCTTTTCCTCTTCGACTTGCAGCTGCAGTTGTTTACGTTTTTCTATTATTTTCTTGGGCTAATCCTCTTTGATATATACACCTTCTTGCAAGTTAGATCTGTTTCGCAGAATCAAATGCTTCTTCCATGTAGTTGTGAGTGAAACTACAACAGGTCGAATTTTATCGGGCTCTGTTTCACCGATTCTGTAAATATTATTAATTTCGAAGACTTCAAGGTGCACTCCCATTTTTAATATAATTTCTTTTATGCAGTCTATTAGCTCCGTTTCTGTTGTTGCTTTTCCTTCCTTTATGCCAAAAAAGACAAGGTTATTTTTGCGCTTATCCTTATCAACGAATTTGAGTTTTATCTCTAGCTCGCTTATTTTATTTTTGAGTTGGGCGTTTTCTTCGGTGATCGCTTTAAGTTTTTCGCCTAGTGCTACGACATGACATTTTGTGTTACTGAAGTTGTTATAAGTTTAGTTTGTTGGTCTAGCGTTTCGTCTAGTTTTGCCAATAGCATTTCCATACTTTTTTCCATTTCGTTGTGGCAACACTTGTTTTGCTATTTATTATGTTGGTACTGTAATTTCCACTCTATAGTCTATGTACAATTTGCATCAGATGATACTTGACATTATTTTTGTATTTTAGAATGATTACAATATGCGGTTTATTTATTCACGCAATTTAACACTTTTTCTGTAATTTTTCCGCTGATCACGTATTTTGGTCTTTGTTGTAATCAAAAGTTCGTATGGCACCCTTTGTTGGCACTTTTTACACTATTTATTTTTAATTTTCCGTGGTGCTGTGACGTACGTTTTGACTGAAAGACGACCCCAATTCCCAAGCGAAATTAGAGAATTATCACTAAATAAATTCAAAGCCCTCGTTAAACGAAAATTAATCAACAAAGCTTTTTATAAATTTGAGGACTACTTAAATGATCCTAATCCTTGGGATTGAATTGCTCCAGTTCAAACAATTTGTATGACAATACTTGGCGATTAAAAAGAGTGGCGGAAAGTTTCTTGCCAGTTCTTCTTACCCGCTCTACGCCCTTGACTTGCGAACTGGTAGTAAATGTAAATTTACGATTAATTTAACTTGACGATTCAAAAGTGTACTTGGTTACCTACTTGAATAAAGATATTTTGAGTTTGAGTTTGAGTTTGACCGGAACCGGACTCCCAGAAACTTTTAGTTTAGATAATAAGTACTTAGTAATTCTTAGTTTAAAAAAATAAAATATTGCTCTATTTACAAAAATTATAACATTATTCAGATTTACCATCAATAGTGCATCATTGAACTAATTTTCACCTTTATCAAACAACACTGTTCTATTTTGGAATAATTAAAAAAAAACAACGGGAGCACTCCGGGAGTGCCGGCAGAAGTGAAAACTTCAATATTAACGTTGTGTTTAATTATAAGTATAAAAGTACTATCATTTATGAGGTAGAATACAATGTTTATTTATTGCGCTATCGTACACAAATATGACAATTTATATGTTGTTATTTATAATATTATATCGTTATTTATATATTACATTAAATTTTATCTCTCAGAAAAATCAACTTCCATCCATAATTTCGACGACTTTTACACCATCGTTATTATCAGAATCATCATCGCAAATTTTTACAACTGATACAATTGGTTTATGATAACTGAAGTAAGAAACAAACAGTTTTGATTCGAACCTATTTAAGTGTCTAATAAAGACCGTACTCATTTGCTTTCACTACTTCATCATCACTTTTTTCATTAATAGATTCACTTTGTTCGATTTCCATAATTTAAACAATTCACATTTACGAATACACAACAGTGTATTTACTACACAACAGTCAAGCAATCAGCTGTCACCATCCTTGGATACGCGTGGGACGCTGTACATAAACACACGGTCATTCGCGCAAGCGCCCTGTGCCGCCTAAACAGAGCAGCACACTCAGGCACGGTAGAAAGAGTGGGAGATACTAGTTCCTCTCCCTTCCCCTCGATCTTACGCTTTTTCGATCAGCATCACGTGACCCTGACGCAAGTTTGAAAGTTTTTACCCATACAAAAAGTGCTCAGCGCCGCTAAAGAAGTTTTCACTTTAAAAATATAACATACCTACGTCACCAATACAGTATTATTTAAAATACTGCTACACGGTATGAAACGAAATAAAAGCTAGTTGCGCTTTTCGGCTACACGGTTTAAAACCAACAGTGTCCAAAATAACGTTGCGCTGATAAGACGTCTCCGCGCTCCCGTACCTGACGCACTTTCAGAATTAATTACAACGACATCATGGCGCCTTGCCTAAGTAAACAACAAAAAGTTGTGGTGAGTCTTGCACTTTTGTGTGCTATTGAAACCAAAAAACAGAGAAAAAAAAGAATATGGATGAAGCAATGGTTAAAGGAGAGATTAACTCTTAGTCATATGAACTTAATTAACCTACTGGACTTTGATGACGTACGTAACTTTCTAAGAATGGATAAAGAAACTTTCTACGAACTTTTGTCTAAGGTGAGGCCATTCATAACTAAAAAAGACACAAACATGAGACCAGCTGTGTCTGTTGAAGAAAGGCTTATTGCAACGCTCAGATTTCTAGCCACTGGTAGAGACTACAAGGATTTGAGATATAGTACGATAATATCTCATCAACTACTATCAAAATTCATTCCTGAAACATGCTGGGCAATCTACAAGGTTTTGAAGGAAACAATCAATGTAAGTAGTATGTAATATTTATTAGGGTTATTTAAAAACTAACATTTCTTTCAGCACTTCGTCCGCCGGACCGTCTACATAATATAATATATTCTCACTAATGTTGATAGCGTTCTGTGAAGATGGCGTAGAATTTGAATTTGTAATTTGTGAGTTATTTGGAAGGCTTTGGAAAGAATGAGATGAAGCAGGTGACTGATGTTGTGTATGATAGGAAGGAACATTGGGTGATTGAAGAGGAGTCGGACAGTTTGAGGTTGGTGAATTAACTGGTTCAGAAATTAGGTAAGAATGCGGTGAAGCAGGTGGCTGATGTTGTGGATAAGAGGAAGTGGGTGATTGCATGGGAGTAGGACATTTTGGGGTTGATGAATTTCGCGGTTGAGTATGCAGGTGATTGGAAGAAAGGAGGAGTGGGTGATTGCGTGGGAATAAGATAATTTAGAGTTGATGTATTCACTAGTTGAGACTTGAGGTAAGAATGAGATGAAGCAGGTGATTGATGTTGTGTATGGGACGCAGAAAAAGGATTAGATTGTAAGAAGTACGATTCAGAGGAGTTTTGTGAAGAATAGTGATTAGTTCTTGATGGGTTTTCTATTCTTGTGTTAAAAGTTAAATTGTTAGTCTTGGCAAGAAACAAAATGTCTGAAATAAGTTTTTCAGCGAGATCTCGCTGTTGACCAAGGGGTATTTCATCAATTTTCTTGCCTACATATACTCCGAATGCATTAGTTTCCGCCCTGTCGGTTAATAAATTATTTGCAGCATCTATTAGTTTTTCTTTTTTCATTTCTATGTTGCGTTCTCTTGTAATTTTTTTTCGTTTCGTCCCGCCTAATTGTTGTTCCTGAAAGAAAAGATATAGTAGATAAATATATAATAGGTAGGTATATGCCTAGTAAATTTATAATTATATACCTAATTTATTCATTACAGCTTCCGTCAACGAAGGAAGAATGGAAAATGACTGCAAAATTATTTGAAACACAATGGAACTTTAATAACTGCGTGGGTTGTATGGACGGGAAACATATTTTAATCCAAAAACCGCCTGGAAGTGGATCTCTTTTCTTCACAAGGGAACATTCGTAGCTTTATTTGCTATCGTAAATGCAAATTACGAATTTATTTACGTCCATACAGGCTCAAACGGGAGCCAGTCTGATGGTGGCATATTCAAGGACACATCATTTTATGCAAAGCTTACTAACAACGAATTGCATTTACCTGAATCGTTCTTACTACCAGACACTGTACCATACATTTTCTTAGGCGATAGTGCTTTTGCACTCGAAAAACATGTTATGAAACCATATCCTGAACGGAACATTTCCAGGGAGCAAACAATATTTAACTACAGATTGTGCAGAGCTAGGAGAATCGTCGAAAACGCTTTCGGCATCCTTGCATCTCGTTTTCGAGTTTTTACACAACCGCTTAATTTAAGCCTCGAAAATACAGATGCAGTTGTACTCGCAAGTTGTGCTTTACATAATTTTTTAAGAAAAAAGTCGAAAACATATTTGACTCCTACATGTGTTGATAGAGAAGACTTAGAGAGAGGTACTTTTATTACTGGTACTTGGCGTCAAGGAACAAATCAACTAACATCTCTGCAAAGAAACATTCAGAGGCCTTCGACAGATGGGAAGAATATCAGAAACACACTAACTTTTTAATATAGAATGATAAATTAATAAGTAGGTATGATTATGTAATATAGAATGAAAATCATTAAACTTAATTATTCAACTAAATATCTGTTTAATTTTACCAGCAAATTAATTCTTCCGCAACCGTATTTATTTTACCCACATTTGCATATAATCTTTATAGGCAGATATTTTACCTATGTAGGTACTAAGTACTAAATATATATTACTACATATTGCCGATTGAGCTGTCAATATTGTACAGAATACCTAGTCTATGTGTAAAAAGAACACAGTAACATTCAAATAGGTAGATACAACTTACGTCTTCGTCGTCACTTATGAGTGTATCGGTTCACCTTCTTTTCATATCATATTTTTTCTCCAAGAATGACAATAAGTCATAATACCATAGACTTGGCTTATGAATGTCACTAGCAGACGATCCAGTTCGGTTTTTTGATTCTTTGACCTGGAAAAAAATAAAGTTAATAAACTACATTACAAGGAAATAGGTAGGTAGGTAGGTATACATACGTACACCTAAATAAAAAATTGGATAAAATAAGTAGGTATTATCCGATAGTTTCAAAGGGTAATCTAAAAAAAAACTAAGGGTAAATTTAATAAATATACGTACCTTCTTATATTCTCTTGTATACGAAATCCCAAGATTGTCTATCTTTTTCTTTGCAGTCACGGCGTTGGCCGTTGGGTCTATAACTTATAATTTTTCGGCTAAAATATCCCACGCATTTTTTTTCTGAGTCGAGTTTTTATATGACTCGCATGATAAATCCCAAAGACATGGCAATTCTCTGTATAATTCGAGCAATTCGGTAATAACTTCACGTTCACTTGCTTCTTGTGCCATTGTGCAGAACGTCGTCGTCGCGTGCGTCTACGCTCGCCGCCGCAGCACGACTGCCGAACGCGTGGTTTTAAACAAGCGGCTAGACTGTTTCAAACCAACGGTTTTGGTCGCGGTTTGCAACGCAAAGCGTGCTGCCAAGGTCATATCAAGGTTAAACGAAATTTGGCATAAAACAACTATCCACACAACACACACATCCACACAAACGGCGGTTTGAAACCAAAGTTTCAAACCGCCGTTTCATACCGTGTAGCACATGCGTTAGAAATACTATCAAAACAGCAGAAACAGGAAATTCACCAACTATTAAAACTAAATTATTCGGAGTAATTTTCTACTTGCATTTAACAATACATAATTATTTCGAAATAATTCACTGTTACGTAACGTCACTACATGCTCCTTCCATAGACAAACATGTCGCAACTGGAATTAGATTCATATTCGCGGTACGACTCGGCAGTTCTTAATTCACTAAAAGAGACTTAGTGCGACATCCGTTGGCTGTTTTTGCAAATAAAGATATGGCTGTCTTAGTGGTATGCACGGGAAAAAAATGCCTATTGTTCTAAATGAATAAGTCGATTTTGGGATTTATAGACTTAATACAGTATTGTTCTGGGAGTGCTATATGTATCACTACACTACACTGGAAAGCCGTTGTGACAGCCGCACTGTTGAGCATAATAATAGTAATGATACTGTCAGCGAATGTAGTGATTTTGGACCGAAGGGCGCGAAAATCTGTCACCTATAAAGATAATTTAAAATTCAAATATCTTTATTCAATAACAAGTTATATTTTTAACAGATATTTGAGCCCCTGAACTAAGTCTAGGGAGACCTGTACATCAGGGTACTCCGCTCTCCCAATGGTATAACGAAATAGTAACTTAACAATTTTAGAAACTAAAATAATATACAGGGTGGTTTTTCAGAATCCCTATGAAATGCGCCAAAACTTGTAATACGGGTCACTTTTTGGTAAAGCAATTTTTTTTCACAGTGGGGTCCGAAGTAAACAAAAAGTTTTGATTTGAAAAAAATGTATATCGTATAACCTAATATTATCTTGAATACACTTAATAAACAACTATAAATAGTATGTGTAACGCAAGAACTCATCAGTACCAATCTAGTGAATATTATGAAAAAAGATACAGGATGTAGATTTTTTCGAATTTTAATAATAATTAGTAAAAAAAAGTCAATTTTCTTATAAAACGCAAAATAAATTATAACTCTGCAGGGGTTGAGCTTAGAGACCTCCCGTAGAACAATTTTTTGCAGCTGATGTCCTCATCTATCCCCTATTTGCGTTTGATCCAGGACTTTTTGGCCACCCTGTAATATAAAGAAAAACAGAAATCTAAGACTAATTACAAAACTAAGGATATAGGTTTACATCGTTGAGATTTACAGGTTTACTTTCGTACGCACCAGAATGATAATCTTAAGGAAGCGATGGATGTGATGGGAGGTGGAGGGATGATAATCTTAAGGAAGCGATGGATGGGATGGGAGGTGGAGGGATGATAATCTTAAGGAAGCGATGGATGGGATGGGAGGTGGAGGGATGATAATCTTAAGGAAGCGATGGATGGGATGGGAGGTGGAGGGATGATAATCTTAAGGAAGCGATGGATGGGATGGGAGGTGGAGGGATGATAATCTTAAGGAAGCGATGGATGGGATGGGAGGTGGAGGGATGATAATCTTAAGGAAGCGATGGATGGGATGGGAGGTGGAGGGATGATAATCTTAAGGAAGCGATGGATGGGATGGGAGGTGGAGGTTGGTAGTGTAAAATAGGTAATGCAATGCGGAAATTAAGAATGGTAAAATTATATTTGAACTAGCAATTCAGTTTCTTCGTAGTTAAGTGAATGAAGCCACTTGGTAATTAATGTTTTAATTTCGAATAATAATTTAGGGTAAATATCAAGGATTCTATTAAGTTTGTTGTATAGCTGACTAGACAGATAAGAAAATTGGCGGTGTGAGAATAGACCACAAGCCCATGAACAAAAAATACCTGTGAAATGACCCAACGTGAATTACGCTTAGAAGGCTGTTACTATATCTGAAAATAACTCTGAGCACTATGCCGTCATTTCTGAGCGGTACATGTGAGTACGTGAGTGAATGGAATTTCTCATGTACAAATGAGGAATTTCGACTCATTATTAATGTACGGCTTTGTTACAAGTGTATAGATGATTAAAAATAAATGTCGAAAAACCTAGTGCCGTACTAAAGTGATGGTACCGGAAGTCGGTGCAAATTTTTAATTCGACGATAGTTGCAGAAGCAATATAGGTCATTTATTACTATACGGCATTGGTGTAATTCCTTTTGGGCACATATACAGATACTTTACCCGTAAACGCCGTACATATTTCCAGCGGAGCGGTCGAAAGCCAAGGGTCGCAACCCTACCCCTACACCCATATACCCTAAGGTCATTGTAAAATGTACGGCAACATGTTCAAAATATTATTTAAAACGGACAATAATGTTTTATAATTATGCCGTCCAAAAATTAGAGTTAATGTTTGTGTAAATAAATATTTATCGAAATTTCAGGATTTACCAAGTTCTTACTGCTGTAAAATCAGAGAATAATGTACGGCAACTTGTTTTTTTACATAATGTTACTAAATATTACCGTTGTACCTTATACCCGTTCATTATAAATGGTAACAAATAAAAATATTATGATAAAATATATAATAATAAAAATAGAAAATAACCGCCCGGAAATGACGGCATAGTGCTCAGAGTTATTTTCTGATATAGTAACAGCCTTCTAATCGTTATTCACGTTGGGTCATTTCACAGGTATTTTTTGTTCATGGGCTTGTGGTCTACAATGAATAGTAATAATTTCTAAGACGCTCGTTCGCAGACATAAGTAAATGCTAGAATAGCCTATTTATTGTTTTGTAAATACATTAATTATTCCATTAATTCATATTAAACTTGTACGATTGTTACAGACACAGATATAGAATATGGTTGTTTTTATTTTTGTTATTTTATAGGTATGTTGTTAATTATATGTACTTTTAAAAGGTTTTTAAATTTGTAAAAAGGTTTTATTTCTTTTAATCTGGGTGGCAATGTATTAAATATTTGTGCGCCTTGATACATAATTTTAAGTTTTCCGTAATTAGTCCTTGGTTGTATTAAACATAATGTATCAATATTTCTTAATGAATATTTTGTATCTGATTTTTGTGTAAAGGATAGATTTGTATGAATTAATTTGTTAATAATTTTGTATATTAAAATTGAGGTATTGTAAACGTATGTCTGGTTTATACTCATAAAATGAGTCGGACTGACTTTGGGAAGCAAGGCACACTGCCACGCAGCACGCCAAGAATAGAAGATAGTTTGGATTTAATTATGTCAATGTGCGGCTTCCAAGTTAAACGACTATCCAATACAACACCAAGATATTTTTGTGTATTTGTTCTAATGATATTACATCCATTAATAGTAAGAGGTACAAAATCGTATTTTTTTCTTATTTTTTGCCGCAAAAATTATATAATTTGTTTTTTCTGTATTGATAGTGAGTAAATTAATTTTTAAATCAATTTGTGCATCTTTCACGATGGTATCTATATTACTACCATAGTAAAACAAACTTGTGTCATCTGCATACAACGTAACATCACCCTTTAACCCTAAGTTGCTAATGTCATTAATATAAATCAAAAATAAAAGTGG